AGAGATAAGTTGAGCGTATATTGGCCACGGGGAATCCCTTAGACCAATACGAGCCAAACGACTCAACCTAATTATCTCTGAGTGCTGTTGGTTCTGAAGGAGGAATCCTTACATTAGGCACGCGACAGGAGTGATATGTGACATTTACATTGATTTTTTCTGGGGCTAACTGTGCTAAAAATAGCGAAAAGGACTTGCGTCATAACAACCGAAACATAGATTGAAGCAGGAAAATTATCAAAATGAGTAGAACCATGTGCCAGACGTGTCTGAAGGGCCTCCAAGGGCCTTACTTCCCAAAATACAGGTGTTAGGACTTATTCAAGCTTCATCCATAAAAAAATTCGGCTCTCTTCCGAACTTCGTCCTAATATTAGGGCGGCCATAATATATCCTTACAGGGCTCAGGCATATGTAAAATGTGGACTTTCTGCCAAGGAAAAAATCGCGGCAAAACTAGGATTACTTGACAATTTCAAGAGACGCGACCTTGCAGACGATAGTAGCAGACGATAAAAGTGACCGTTGACAATTTTGAGCATTTCTGCAGACGATAATAGCGACTATTGACAATTTCGAGACATTACAGACGAAAGCGATATGACGGGTAGACCACGCGCTCCCACGCAGATTAGCAATACTGTTCGTCCGATGGAGGATTTAGCAGCGGTAGATGTCAGACCTGCTGACCTGTATCCTCACACTTTTCGGCATGCGCAAAACGCGATTAAACACACCGCCGAGTGTATCTCCCGCGAAGTGCGGATGGGGGCTAAACTAGGTGCCTGGGACTCACGAGCAAATTAATTGGAGGAAGTTGCAGGAGATATGGTAGCTGCTGCTCGTGAGTCCCAGCCATCTAGTTTAGCCCCCATCCACGCCGTGCGTAGCGGCGCGGGGGATACGGTCAGCGGTGAGGCACAGTCACAGAAACAGGTCCGCAAGTAACATATCGCTGAGACCCTGTTAGAGCATTTGTTTCGTTATACAGAACCGGCATATTTTTAATAGAACTGAGCCCCATAATGATATTTTATGGCCGCCATGATATTAGGACGCCGTTCGGAGGAGAGCCAAAAATTCACCCAAATTTTTTAGATTAGTTATGATTGTTACCAAAAATTTCTTTTATTTTGCATAAATTACACAAATCAGAGAGAATAGTTCATTTGAATAAATGTTGAGATTTCAGTCTGATTCATAAATATTTTGTTAGTACATTCAATTTCCTACAATATTTTATTAAAAGCTTTTTTTAAAAATAATTTTTAGTGTTTAAACTATAAACTTTAAGAATGGCCTTCGGAAGACTCCGTCTTCTTGGCACCGAAACTCCAAAAAGGTTCCGTCTCCAAAGGGTTAACTTTAAATCAGTAACAAAATTGAAAATTAATGACTACTAAAAGTAAAACAAACCACGTTTTTTTAATTTTATTTTTAGTTTTCATAGTAACTTAAGTCTACTTACTGAACTGATACCGTAAGAAGTAAGAGATACTTGATACTATTTTGTAAACTTACAAAACTAGATCAGTGACTCCACTGCAAGAGAACAAAAACAAACATGTATATGTGTTTAAATCACCTTCAAAAAACCCTTGTACTGTCGGAGAAACGGGTCAGGTCGATGATTAAGGAGACAATCTTCAGATTGCTGGCTTATCAATCCGGGTCAGGAGTTCGTGTTTGTCATCGAATCTGTCACAACGATCATGTGACATCTAACATTAGAAGTCAGGGGACGGCACTCGGTGAAATTTAATAGGTGGTGGGGGGGGGGGTTATCAAGAGTAATTAACCTTGGTCGTTCTGGAATAAATAAGGCCCATGAAGTGAAGTCGGTCGTATCTATAGCGGAGTCCGTGGCTTAGGCGTTGCGAGTTCGACTAGTAAAAAGAAGTCGGTCGTCGTGATGTTGACCACATTACCAATAGAGTGCTAGTTCGTCTACAAAAAAAATATTAGTTTATCGTATATGCTGGTTGCCGCGATGGCGTGAAAAAGAGTCCTATACTTTTTTAAAGGGTTCCTCGACAGGATATTACAGCCCCTGGTCGTTGGTCTTCCTCCTTAGGTAGGTAGTTGTACCCCATCAGGACATCACACAAGCGATAAACACCGAATGACACAAGGTGCCACCATACGGATAAGAATCACCCGTGGAGAGGTCCCAGAAATCCCTTTCAGTTGTTGAGGCCATATCTTGGGCTAGGCCATATTTATGGCCCGGCTATATTCAGGGTCCACGCAAAAGCCAGGATGGGGCTTCAAAATAAAAATTCGACTTTGATATTTCCCTTTTACATCAAAGACACCGACTATGCTATCTATGTTTTTCAGTCGATCCGTTCACATCCTCTTCGAGGTACCACATCTTCACCATAGATTTTACCTCTCTTTACAAGTCTAATCCACATTCTGATGACCTCCAGGCTTTGCGGTTCTTTCTATATCGTAGAGCCAGCCTTACTATAGCCACTGACCCATTGATACGTCTGGCCGAGTTCGTGCTCACTCTAAACTGTTTTGAGTTTAATGGCGACTTCAACCAGATCAGCGACGTCGCTATGGACACCAAGATGGGACGGAACTATGCCTGCTAATTCATGGGCTACCTCGAGCATCAGATAGGTCAGGTATATACTGGTAGGTTCCCGAGCTCTACAGGAGGTATATCAATGATTGCACCGGTGTCCCCGATATGCCCCTATCTGTACTGCAGGACTTCATTCCTTTTTTTTTTTCTCCAACTTCCATCCCAGCATCCGATGCACTTCCAGCATTTCACCATCGTCGGTGCATTTTCTGGATCTCACTGTCATCGTGGATTTTAAAGGCCTTTGCACCTCGGTGTACTATAAACCTAATGATTCCCATCTTCTTTACACGTCCTCTCATCTCTCTTCCTGTAAGGACTCCATTCCTTTTCCCAGCTTCTATGCTTCCGCAGACTATGCCAGGAGAACGACGACTTTCATAACGCTTCCCTAGAAATGTTGGACATCTTCCGGGTTCGAGGGTATCCTGAAGATGTCTTATTTGCTGCCTTTCACCGAGCACGGTCTATCCATCATGCCGAGGCTCTCGTTTCCAAGCCTAAACGTCACCACAACAGACTTATCCTCACACTTACCTACCACCCTCATAACATCCATGCCAAAAATATTCTCCTCAAGCATTTCTCCATCCTTAGGGCTGACCCTGCCTGTCACCAGCAGGATTATCTGTGAACTTCCTTTAGTGGCCTACAGACACGACCGTAACCTCAAGGACATTCTAGTCGAGTGGTTAGCCTACGTCCTGTGTCTGAGTCCTACTTCGGCACTGTCTCTTGCCGCAGACCTGCGTGCAGGACTTGCCCATATGTGGTTCAGGGTACTAGTCTGGAGTTCCCGAATGCTACCTTTCACATACGTGAAGCATTCTATTGCACGAGCCCCAATGTGTTAATGCATCGTTAACCCGACCCAGTGACTTCAGCAGCAAGGCCTGTCAGCTGGAACCGGTAGTACAATACCCTTTTAAGAGGGAGAATATGAGAAATAATCATCACAGTCTGAAGATTTTCGTTCCGCAGAGATGACTGATAATGTAATCAGGCTCCTGTTGCTACCATTAGAACTGGAACTCCGCACTGGCTGCTGAAGATAGGAATGGAGTGCTTAAGATTATATCCCAAATGCTGTGATGTCAGTTCTTAACTCACCTCAGTCGTTTCTGTAAAAACTTGATACATTTTTATGCTCTGGTCTACACTTTTCATTCTTTTCTCTTTTCACAGTTTCGTCTTCATAGATTGCTTTAGGAGTATATTTATTTCATGAAAGCCTTAACTCTTTGAGTCCCAGGGAGTTTAACATCACAGGCCCAATGACTAGTAAAGAAAGAGTAAAATCGACGCATCATGTGTGCACTGGGCTTCTATATAGGAAACTATGAATGTATGATGCGTTCCCTGGGACTCAAAGAGTTAAGATATACGTGTGGCTGCACGAGTTTCCCGCCTTCTTCTCAAACTCAACTGCATTCTATTTCTATGGAACCACAGTGGGCTTATATCCCCCCTACCCCACCTGTGCACTAGTTTGTTTTTGTTTTTATTTGTGGATAGCATTGTAAAGTTTTATTGGGTGTCAATGCATTCAGTTTAAAAAAAAAAACCAAGGTACTAAAAGTAAAAGGTAAAGCCGGAAGATGTGAACCAGCGTCATTGCACACGGTTATAAACCACTAGTACGGACAGCTGATAAGAAACTCTTTGTCTGTGTCGCAGTCCGCAAGAAAACTCCGTAGCTACAGCGACGTTCCTCCACTTACCCCAGAGTGTTACCTCTGGTACCCATTTACATCCAGGTACTGTACGAATGTAGCTTTTTGTGACATTTTTTTTAAGTCCTTCTCTGTGTTTCAGGTCCAGATAACTACTGATTTTTACAGAACTAAATATTTCAAGTTTATTATTGGGGGGAAGGGAGCGGGAGGGGTAGCATGAATTGTCCCACTAACGCTTTAAAGGCATTATAAAAGGTGACTAATTGACGATTTACTGAAATCTCGTGTTTTGGGATTAAAAGCTCAAATACCGCAGCCTAGCTGTAAATCGCAATGCACCAATAGCTCTTCTGAGGGCTCATGTGACAGCAGAGGTGCTAGTTTTAATTTCTTTTCACTCCACCAATTTCCTAGTTATATGAAAACTCTTGCCTTTCGTATTCGTATTTCTCAGTCCCTGTCTGACCTCCCACCTTTTTCTTCTTCTTCTTCTTTCTAGTGTCAATATTTGCTTAAGCCGCTATGAGTCGCAGTTTATCAAACGATCGACAGCCGAGACAGGGCGCGCTCAGTCGTTTGATATGCCGTGATGTTGTGCAGTCTCAAGGTGTCAGTGACTTCTTCAATCCATATTCTTCCCGGTCTTCCCCTGCCTGTGGTTGTTTCGATGTTCAGATTGTACGCTGCTGGCATTGTTGGTTTTATTTTCACTAAATAGCTAAACAATTTCATTCTTTGTTTCTCAATAAATTTGACGATGAATGTTGTTCCAACATTATCAAGATAACTAGATAAATGTATGACTTCACATCCTGGAGTGATGTCTCACCACGGAAGATTAAATTATTTAAGTCCAGATCATCAGTGAAGTCCAGATCATCAGTGAAGTCCAGATCATCAGCGAAGTCCAGATCATCAGTGAAGTCCAGATCATCAGTGAAGTCCAGATCATCGGGTAAGTCCAGATTATCGGGTAAGTCCAGATCCTCAGTGAAGTCCAGATCATCAGTGAAGTCCAGATCATCAGCGAAGTCCAGATCATCAGTGAAGTCCAGATCATCGGGTAAGTCCAGATCATCAGTGAAGTCCAGATCATCGGGTAAGTCCAGATCATCGGGTAAGTCCAGATCATCAGTGAAGTCCAGATCATCGGTTAAGTCCAGATCATCAGTGAAGTCCAGATCATCAGTGAAGTTCAGATCATCAGTGAAGTCCAGATCATCGGGTAAGTCCAGATCATCAGCGAAGTCCAGATCATCGGGTAAGTCCAGATCATCAGTGAAGTCCAGATCATCAGTGAAGTCCAGATCATCAGTGAAGTCTAGATCATCAGCGAAGTCCAGATCATCAGCGAAGTCCAGATCATCAGTGAAGTCCAGATCATCAGTGAAGTCCAGATCATCGGGTAAGTCCAGATTATTGGGTAAGTCCAGATAATCAGTGAAGTCCAGATCATCAGTGAAGTCCAGATCATCAGCGAAGTCCAGATCATCGGGTAAGTCCAGATCATCAGTGAAGTCCAGATCATCGGGTAAGTCCAGATCATCGGGTAAGTCCAGATCATCAGTGAAGTCCAGATCATCAGTGAAGTCCAGATCATCAGTGAAGTTCAGATTATCAGTGAAGTCCAGATCATCGGGTAAGTCCAGATCATCGGGTAAGTCCAGATCATCAGTGAAGTCCAGATCATCTGGGAAGTCCAGATCATCAGTGAAGTCCAGATCATCAGCGAAGTCCAGATCATCAGTGAAGTCCAGATCCTCTAGCTATTCTGCTGGGGTCCACTGTCTACAACTATTGTCTTCATAATACAGCCCGTAAGCCAATAAGTCATCATCATCCACTTCTGCCGTTAAGTGCCGTAGGGAGGAACAGTTTGCAGTCCATTGCTTATTGGGCAGCAATAGCTATTGGCATTCCATGTCAATGTAGAAACTCTTTAATGTCATCAATCCATATTCTCCCTGCTTTCACGTCAGCTCTTCTCATGTGTAGCGCCAACGTTGGTAGTTGTTCTGACTGCATTCTTACTAGATGATCAAACCAAAGCCATTTGATCTTCTGTTTCTCAGTGAATTTGCTGCATGGTGTTGTTCCTACAGTCGGTCTAATAATATAATTTCTAAGTTTGTCTCAGATGGTTAAGTTGATGGCTTTTCACATGCATCTCATTTCACAGGTTTTGACGTAGGTTAGACTCTGATAATATCCATGTCTGGCCCTGGTAGCACAGCGTTGGTATGAAATGCTGTTTATAATGTTTCTTGGTGATCAAAGTTATGTCTGGATGCCTTAAGAATGGTGTCATTTTGTATATAAAGTGTACTGGCAATTTAGCATCTTGTTTCAGTTTCCCAATCTATTCTTCTTTCCTCCGAGAATATACTTTCTAGATATTTAAATTCTTTAACATGTTTCAGACAAGTACCATTTAACCTGATATGCAGCGGATTAGGAACTTTACTGACCTGTCTTACTTCAGTTTTAGTTTAAATGTTTCATGTAATATCTACTGCATAGTAAGAAAAGTATAGGTGAGAAATGGCATCTCTGTCATTCAGCTGTAGTAGTTATATAGTAATTGTTCAAAAACATCCTGTTCAACCTGCATGGTTATAATTGGGATACATAGCGTTAATCGAGTTCTCGAGTATATATTTGTTATTTTAAATATATGTCATGTAGTTATTTATATGACCAAAATGTAATATGTATTCTTTCACAAAATTACTATATTTAAATAAAAACGCCCCCCCCCCCCCATCCCAACAAGGTAAACTGGTCCATTATTATCTTGTCATAACAAAATGGACCTGACTGCAGTAAAGCTGAGAAAATCCAAAATGGATTAAATGATGAAATAAGGTGACTACAATACATCTATGAATGTCCCTTTAAAAAAATCATAATTATAAAATGAAATGAGGTGACTGCAGTTCAGCAGTGAAAGTTTAAAAAGAATGGGGTAATGAAATGATTTGACTGCAGTTATAAGTTAAAAACCGGTCTTTTCTTAAATCGTTCAAATTACCATGCAGCAAATGCATTTCATCATTGGTAACTCGCGTATAGGCCTTGGCTTGCGCCTATGACAGACTAGACTTTACCGATGGCATCCCAAGCATATACCTCATTGTTCTAACTGGGGTGTCCCGTGTACAACCCAAGATGATTCTCATTCCTTCATTTTGAATCGTTTCAAGCTCTGTACACAGTGCAGTAGATAGGATTAATATTTCTAGGCTATAATCGATTACAGAAAGGACCAAATGGTTGAACAATAAGACCAATAATCTCTGTTCCACGTGTGTCGCCACTATCGTCTTCAGTGCGCCCAGGCCACTCTTGCATTTGATCACAGACTGCTCCACGTAATACCTGTAGGAGAGACTGCAATCAGACGTCAAACCTAATTATTTCAACTGATCTCTTCTTTCAACATTAATACCCTTCATGGATATGTTGGGCAAGTCTTCCTTCCCAATGTTGTTATTCAGAGAGCACCACAAAACACTGGTCTTCTCTGGGTTTACCCCTGACCCTGTCTATTCAGATCACTCCGTCCTATCATGCAAAGCACTTTCATGCCGTGTCTATCTGGCCCACTTCGATACATTAAGACATTTTCTGCAAATGTCAGTTTGCCCGGGTCCAGTGGGCTGGATTTTTGGCAGACTTGCTGCACATGTGTTTAACAAGACAGGTGAGAGTGGTGATCCCTGGGGAAGGCCTTGGGAAAATGCATATTGGATCTTATCTCCATGTTCCCAAACAAAATACCACTGTTCTTTCCAACACTGCTGCCCCCATCCAATTAGCTAACCAAGGGTTCACACCAAAGTCCATCACGCACTGCATAAGGTATGTGAAGTCAACCCTGTTATAGGCATCTTCAAGATCTATCATGACAGTGACTGTTTTTTGCTTTCGCTGAAATCCTTCATACACATCATATGTGAACGTTCCAGCATTGTTCCATGTTGCCTTTGATAGCTTTTAGTTGTCCATGGTATCATGGTATCCAGTAGCATGCCTATTCTTTCTAAGTGTAACATTTCTTCGCCACAGATTTTTTTCCAGCAGTCTGCCATATACGTTTTGCAGAGTTATGGTTCTAAAACTGCTTAGCTGCGAGCGCCCATAGTAGATTAAGCTCAAGACCAGCTTCAGATGAATATTAAAAAGAGACCACAAACAAATGAACAAACTACATTATCAAGATTATAATACCACAGACAAATGAACAATCACCACTGTCAATATTATTATACAACAAATAAATGAATAAACTATACTGTCAAGATTATTTTACCACAAACCTATGAACAACTACATTGTCAAGATTATTATACCCTGAACCTATAAACAAACTACATTATCATGATTATTATACCACAGACAAATGAACAATCACCATTGTCAATATTATTATACAACAAATAAATGAATAAACTATATTGTCAGGATTATTTTACCACAAACCTATGAACAACTACAATGTCAAGATTATTATACCCTGAACATATAAACAAACTACATTATCAAGATTATAACACCACAAATCCATGAACAAACTGCATTGTCAATATTATTTCACCACAAACATACGAATAAACTACATTATCATTGCTAGAACATCACAAACATATAAACAAAATACATTATTAGATTATAAAACTACAAACATATAAACAAATACTACATTATAAAACATATTCTTACCAATGCTATGCTACCAATGTCAAACATGGACACTGTCTTCAGAAGACAGAAGGAACATAGTCACGAGAGAAATAAAATGTTTACATACTATGCTAGGTGCATCAAGGAAAGATCAACTTAGGAATGAAAGATACCATGAGGAGAGTTGGCACAGAACCAATAATGTTAGTTGCGCATCCTTTACAGGACGTTGCAGAACCAACCCCAACAGCCCCTGGCTGTTGTATGGTTTTCTAGGCAAATTTACGTCCAGTAGTTTGCCATTGCTTTATGGACGGTCTGCTTTCTTGATACCACTGTCAAAACCAAAGCAAGGCGCATGGCTCGCTGCTTGGATTGAAGCCGGCATCCCGGCGTTCGCATCGACTTAGCTACAAGGCCGACACAGAACCAATACTGAACTCTAAAGGTAGGCAAAAAATCAAATGGTTTGGCCACGTAACAAGATTGGCATCAGACAGGGCACCACAGAGAGCAATGCAATACAAATACAACGGTAACAGAGCTACAGGTCAACCACGCAGAAGATGGACCTCAGAAATATCAGAGACACTGAAAAATACTTTATACAAAACGAACAGAAGGGCCCGTTCAGGGGATCTCTTCCTGCCCTGACGCCGCAAGGCATTCTAGGAGTAGAGAAAAGAAAAAAAAAGAAAAAGACAAACATATGAACAAACTATTACATTATAAAATTACACAACCACAAACATATGAACAAACTACACTACTAGATTATAAGACCACAAATGTACAAATAAACACACATAACGATATGATAATCAAGATTATAAGACAATATTTATTGCACAAACCAAATAAAAACAACAAAAGCAAAACAGCTCCAACAGAGCAAATATCCAAACTAAACTGAAAATATTTACCCTTTAAATATTCAAACTGAAACTGCTCAACCAGTTTCAAATATTCAAACTGAAAACGCTTAATAAGTTTCAAATATCTCAAAACACTTTGTTTCAAATATCAAAGTGAAAATACTCAACCAATTTTAAATATCCCAACCAAAATTACTCAGAGAGATTCAAATATTCAAACTGAAAATACTTAACAAGATTCAAATTAAAAATACTCAATGAGATTTCAATATGATATTTGAACTGACAATACTCAAGTAGATCAAATATCCAAAGTGAAAAAATTATAGTTTAAAAAATAAATCATATAAAAGACAATTTTGGTAATCGTGGAAATACCTGGTTAGCTACTGTGAACAGCGTGATAAACAAACTGACATATTTTGACTCCTTCTTCTTTTGTCGACTTACTGATACCAGCTTGTAGCCCGGTGACGTTGTTTCCTGTATTTGTCTTGTGCTTCTCGGGTGGCTTGGGTGATGGATTTGTTCATCTTTTTACAGGTTTCAGCTACATTATCTAACCATCTCTTTCCTGGTCTTTCCCTGACCTTCCTTTAAGATGTTCTGATGTTAAAAATATAAAATGCAGTTTGGCCTGGTTGCTTTCTTACTAGATGGCCGAACGATTTCATTCTTTGTCTGTCAGTATAATTCAGACAGGGTTTTATGCTAACATTCTCTCCATTGCTGGAATTTCTAGCCCTGACCCTTCTTGTGTTGTTATTGACCTTATTCTGACTGCCACTCACAACTGTAGAGGAAAGTAGTCAAGACAGGTAATCATTCTTCATCTTAGGACAGGACGTAACACACCTCTCTTCCTCCATTTTCTCCCAGTTACCTCATCAAACAGAGTGTGTGTCTTTGTGTGTATGTGTGTGTGGGTGGGTGGGGGTGTGTGTAAGGATCGTATGTATTCTTTCTGCTGATCATTTCTTCAAGGTCCCTGTGTGGGTTCCAGGGCCCCATCGTGGGGTAAACAAGAATAGACCCTCTGCCTACCCAAAAGCATGTCGTAAGAGTCAACTAATTGGGGAGCTTTGTTTGAAGTTGGAGTGCATCTGCCTGAGAGGCAAGGAACCAACAGTCTGGTTCAAGTGAATCAGATCTGTAAAACTGATGCACACGCAACACTCAGGTTCTGGAGCAGGACTGCAGTTTAGAGGTGGACAAACAACCAGAACTTTCCACCAGAGTGTACAGCTGGTGAACGCGAAGAAGAAAGAAGATTTCTTTAAAGCTGTTTTGGATTCTGTCCCTCCATCTTCTGCATGGTCTTCCCGTTGTTGTTTTCATTATATTTCTTGAGTGTGGCTCTCAGTGGCAGCAGGAACTAGGGTATTCTCATCAGATGGCCAAACCATCTCAGTTGTTGCTCTATAATAAACTGTACGACTCTTTTCAATAGTAATTCCTAAATTCTTCTTAGGCATCAATAACAGACTAAACAAGCATATATCCAATAGTTTCACCTGAGTAGTTCCCTACTCTGCCCATGCAGAATGTGCGTACAAACTGCAGAAATGTCACGCAGGAATGTCCCTTGTATAGCCTGTTAAGAAGGGAATACCATCCTTATTTATTAACATCATACCTAAAGATGTACAGGAATTAACAGGAACTCACCAAAAATAGTCAACTGAATTATAAGCACTTGACTCTTCTTCTTCTTTTTTTCTCTACTCCTGGAACCCCTCCCAGCATCAGCGCAGGAAGAGATCTCTGGAACGGGCCGTTAGTTTAAAAGAAAGAAAAAAAAAGCTTCAAAGTTTAGAGGATCGACTTCACTGCAACGGTTTTTATCCCACATGGCTTCGTGTTTCTGGAAAGAACTGTTGCCACCTGCCAAAAACCTTGTACAAAGATAGTTCTCCAATCACCTTAAAAAAAACTCAGGAATCCAAAGATGCAAGCCACATGAGGTGAACTGCCTAATCACTTAGCCACAGAGTAACAGAGGAAACATCAGGGATGCAATCATCGGAATCAGAGTCTTTCTTTTTACCAAACACCCTTATACAAATTATGTATTGTGGCCAACTGCTTCAAATTGGTTTACCACAAAATTTAAAAATAACAACAAAACAGTAAGGTCAATATTGCACATGCTCTACCAGACCTGCATAAAAACATCAACAATGGTTAAAACAAGTCTTTAAAAAAAAAGATATTATCCAACCTTTTTAGAGTTTTATAACTTTACTGCAGTGGCTTAATTTCATTTTACAACCAGTTTTAGACTAATATAAGTTTAATACAATCATCTCATTTCTTTTTCAAACCATTTTTAAGACTTTCATAACTTTACTGCAGTCACCTCATATCATTTTCAAACCTTTTTTAGACTTTTATAGGCTAAATTTTTTTTTTAACTTTTAACTGCAGTCAAATCATTTCATTACCACATTCTTTTTAGACTTTTACTGCTGTGCTGCAGTCACCTCATTTCATTTTATAATTATGATTTTTTTAAAGGGACATTCATAGATGTATTGTAGTCCCCTCATTTTATTATTCAATCCTTGCTTGACTTTCTCAACTTTACTGCAGTCAACTCCATTTCGTTATGACAAGAAAATAATGGACTAGTTTACATTGTTTGGGTGAGGGGGGTGGTTTAAAATGTTTTCATTTAAATATGAAATAGCACTTGTTAAGTAAAAAAAAAATAATGCATAAAACTGATTTTATAAAAATGATATGCAATAACAGAGAAATAGAATATTAGTGTCAAAATAAAGTTCATGATAAATTAAAAATAAGTGTTAATGCGATACAGGAGACAAACTGAGGGACAACACTGAAACGTGTTTCAGAAGGTACTGTACAATACAGACATCTTATATAAAGTTTTCAAAAGTCAACACTGAATAGACAGATGGTAAGTAGGTCAGTAAAAGCAAACTAGGTCAGTAAAAGTACATGAAGGTCCTTTTTTTACATCAGTAGCACATGATGCATATGATATTGTGCTTCCTCTATGAAGTTCTCCAGATACTCTCTTGTCTGCTCGGTTAATATTTACATAGTTGGATTCTTTTTTTCATCTGGGGATCTCACTGGCAAACCTCTTTACCCCAGGGTAGAAGACGATCGAGTAAGTAAGTAAGCAAGCCTTTTTTTTTCAATTTTAACTAGGTCTGTACATTATTGACCGTTTTGGTATACTTTCCTTTGGAAGAAGAGTTAATTAAAAAGCCAAAGGATTTCATTTGTTTTCTAATTAAATCTGCTACTTATTACACCCACTTGCGGTGGGTTAGGGTGTTCATAATTTTTTTAATTAAATATTATTATTATTGTGAAATATTAAATAATAAAATATGGAATATTCATGATTGTGAATATCAAATCATTCAGGATATCAAAAAACACAAAAACATTTCAAAACTGCTTATGTTCACACTCTTGAAGAAATAAAACTGTGCTAGAGTTTGAGAATCAAATCTGTAGGAAACTGGATTATAGCCACTTCTGAAGTATCGAATGGTTGAAAATATCTAAACAATTATATATTCAGTTGTGTTCACAGAAGCGTGAATGGGTTGCATTCATATGACAATTCAAATAGTCAGTTAAATTCAAAGAAGTGTGAATGGGTTGCATTCATATGACAATTCAAATAGTCAGTTGTGTTCAGAAGTGTGAATGGGCTGTATTCACTAAAAAAAAGTTAGTTGCGTATCCTTTTCAGGACGTTGCAGAGCTAACCCTAACAGCCCCTGGCTGTTGTGTGGTTTCTCTTGGCAAATTACTCCAGTAGTTTGCCATTGCTTTCTGGACGGTCGGCTTTCTTGACACCACTGTCGAAACCAACGCAAGGCGCATTGCCTGCAGCTGGGATCGAATTGGGCATCCCGGCATTACGAAGCGAAGCGTTCGCATCGACTAAGCCACAGAGCCGACTGTATTCATAAGACAATTCAAATATTCAGTTGTGTTCAGAAGTGTGAATGGGTTGCATCCATAAAACAATAAGAATTGTGGGAGCTGCATTAGCGCAGTCAATAGGAGGCTTGCTTTCAAATGCAGCTGCGACTCGCTGCAGTCATGTTCGGTGTTCGTAACCAGGTGGTTCCCGGGGTTCACCCAGCCTCTAGGAAATGGGTACCAGAGTTGACACTCTGGGGTAAATGAAGGAACCTCGCTGCAGCTAGAGTTACGTACGGACGGCGACACAGGCGGACAGTTTCTTATCAGCTGTCCATACTAGTAGCAGAGCACTTATGGTTTATAACCGTGTGCAATGACGCTGGTTCACATCTCCCGACTTTACCTTTACCTTTACCCACTGTCTCCCACCACAAACAAGCATGTTGGAAAAGGCCACTAATTAGGTGTGTTTCCTTTGAAGTCGGAGTACATCTGCCTGAGAGGCAAGGAACTTACAGGCTGCATACAGATAAGCTTTAAAATGGATATGGGGGCAAAATTCAAGTTCTGGAACAAGACTAAAGTCCAGAAGTGGACACGCAATATGAACTTTCTGTCAGAGTTTACAGCCAGAGAACACTAAGAAGAATTAGAGGGGATGTATCCTCCTCCTTGATTAACCTACAACCCACCCACTAATTACAACCCTTGTAAGTTGAAAACATGCTGTCAAAGGCTGCTAGAGCACTGACTAATATTTAAAAAAACAAAACACTGAAGACAAGGGGAACAAGCCAAAGAACAAGATGTTTCAGAAGAAGTGGTTGCAGCCCCTATGAGGACTAGTCCTAAGAGCTTTGCCAAAATGAAACCAGTATGAAACAGACACCAGTGCAGGAGGTAGCATATGAGCAGCCACCACAACCCCCACCTCCAGACAAGAGACAGCAGTTAGCATAGAAGACAAGTTGGAAGATGAGCTAAATTAATGCAAATCTCGCGTAAACCAAGAAGAAACAAGGAAAAACACCCCAATTATAACCTTTTTACTAGATCCTGAACAGAAAAAAGAAGAAGAGGGGAACATGCAGACTAAGGGAAACTAAGCCATTAACCATGGCACGCAGAAAAGCAGCCTAAGCAAGACAGTCCCAATTTGTTTTTTGCTTAACTGTATCACCTACTGAGAAGGCTAAATCTAGCCACTTCCGGTTGTGACACAGCCCCGCAAATGCCGATATATTATCATTTGTTCTCGAAAAGCATAGTTAAATGTCACTGGTTCCATGTGCACATGCGTTAATGAGGCCCAGATGTGAATATATTAACTAAAAATACCAGTAGAGAGGTTTCCTTGTAAATCCATAAGCTTTTTTTTTTAGTCAGGTTGACTTGAAATTTTCCTGTGAGCCACAGTGATAGAAGTCCTAGGGTCGGGACATGAGTCACCCAATACATGTTTGCATTAAACATCAGGGGATGCATTCAATTTAATGTGCCACTCTGATCTTGTTTACTGATTACTCCCTTTATATATCTTTATATATTTCAAAACAAATTGTACAATATGCAGATAAATAAATTTTAGAAACTATTTAATAGTTCTATTCTAAAAGTTGCGTATCCTTTACAGGACGTTGCAGAACCAACCCTCAGCCCCTGGCTGTTGTGTGGTTTCTCTAGGCAATTTACATCCAGTAGTTTGCCATTGCTTTCTGGACGGTCGGCTTTCTTGATACCACTGTCGAAACCAACGCAAGGCGCATTGCCCGCAGCTGGGATCGAACCTGGCATCCTGGCATTACGAAGCGAAGCGTTCGCATCGACTTAGCCACAGAGCCGACATTTAATAGTTACCTGTGTAAAATAGTTTTTTAAAGGATTTTTGCCCCTGAAATTTTCATTTCTTAATTACCTCTTTTTTTTTTAAACTGAATCAAACCGAACTGAAGGGAAAGCTACCACAGTTAAAACCATCCTTACAAAAATCCTAATGGAAAGCTTATTAAACACAATGTATTCACTTTAAAAATTGTACATCCATATAAAAAGAAAAACATGAAAATCTTAAATATATAAAATATAAATATATAAATTCTATATAATGACAAAGAGGAAAACAATGATACATTAAAGTTGTTATCACAGCATCGCTGATGAGGTCCAAGCTAGGACACATGATTGCCATCAGTGCCCACGACTAGACAAGACACACACGAACATTTTACAACAGCACAGACAAGAAAAAAATCTAAGTCCTAACTAAACCAGTGAAGCCATACAGCCCTAGAGGGTTAAACAGGCAAGACTAACTTTAGGGAATTAAAACATGAAACAGTTCACAGGCATACTCTACTGTTCTACACTGACTAAATTTAAATTGCAGATTGTCTTCATAAAGAAAATGTAAGAAGTGGATGTAAAAATTGAATGTAAAAAAATGGGTTTTAAAGGGAAAAGATAGACTTCATTTCATCTGGCTGTGTACCATCGTCATGTGCCCTAATGACAAGCACAGGTGGTCATTTTCCACCATCCCATGCAATCTCTAGAATCAAGGATCAGGTCTGTGCTTTTCACTTGCCCGATTTACAGGGGCAAGCCATTCAAGTATTTATCAACATATTCCGAAATGAGATCCATGCTCTTGTCTTACCCCATCAATATGACCAAGCTATCCACATGTTTAACCAGAGAATCACAGAAAGTGAACTACTGAACACCGGCAGACTGAAGTAGTGAAAACTAACCCTTGGACAGTGGTCGATCAGAAGCAAGTGATGTAAAGCAATAGAAAAGAATTTGAGGGGTGGAAAATGGCATTTAAAAAATGTGAAATGTAGAAAGTGATATGATGTAAAGTTATATGGTCGAATAATGACAATAATGTGATGGAAAGTGATACGAAAAAAAATAAAGTGATTGAAAGTAACAAGAAAGAATGTGAAGTGTCAGAAAGTTGCTTGATTAAAAGTGACATGATGGAAAATGGAATGATGGACAACGAAGTGATATACAATAAAGTAATGGAAAATTACATAAAAGAATATGATGTAATGGAAAGTGATATAAAAGGAGGTGAAGTTTTAAAAAAAAATTTTCAAGTGATATTAAAGTAGATTAAGTGATAGAAAGTGAACTGTAGGAATAAACAGATTATAAAATATGAATTTTCAGAGAGAAAAAAAAACATGTCAACCGCCATAAAGCAGGGCACACCTGTGTACTTAATAAGACAGTTCATATTAAAAGGAGAAACGGTGGGGTGGGACATGTAAAGATAGAAACACTATTACGGTCTATTACCTTATCTAACATACAACCATTTAAATGACAAATTACACTCCCCCCCCCCCCTAAAAAAAACTATCTAAAAAACACAAATTAAACTACTACAGAATAAATTGTCATGTTTCTTTATAGTAAGATTTATACAAATATAAATATATGGCATGTTTTTAGATTTGATATAAAAGCATGAAACAATATATTTGCACAGAAAAATATATCAGATTCAGGGAATACAATAAAATATGTGAATATGTGAAAGTAACAAACTCTAGCCAGTTCACACATAATTGAAAAATTAACTAACTCTAAGTAGCATTTCAAGGCAGTTGCTGTCTTTTCCACAGGCACCCAAAAATAAAACACATAGAAATTATGAAGCTTTCTTCTTGAAATGATCTTAATACAGTTAGGTCTAAATAACTCAATTATAGGATTTTCTTTTTTTAAACTGAAATTTAAAAAAGGAATAATTAAAAAATAAATACTTTTGACAAAAAAAAGACAATTTTTTTTTAAAGGTTTTTAGCCCAATAAGATTTCAAATAAATTTGAATCTTTGTATATCCTCTTTACACATGTACCTCAACCTTTTACACTGTCAATTTCTGTTTTGTTTGTCTTCACAATGGCAAACTAATAAAAATAAAAATTACCTAGTAAAATCTCACAGCCAAAAAAAATGCTGGGGTTGGTTCTGCAATGTTCTGTAGAGGAGACATGACTAACTTTTTAGTCTGTTTGCGACGGGCCGTCAAATTTCTCTAGCTTTAGTTTATTCAGTGGTAACTAACCCCCCCCCCCCCCCCCCCCACCAAATGGGTCTTTTATGTCAGCAGTTTAAAAAAACAAACTTTTTTGTTTTTGCCACAAATAAATGTTATTTGTAACGGTTCCTTTCTTTTCTTATTTCTTTTCTTACTTGATGTCGTAACTCTGCCTGTCAATGAAATGTATAATGTTTCTCTTTCTGTACTAAAAGATTACTGAACTAAGTTACTGGCAATTGGCAGAAAAAGAAGCAGATCAACAAAAAAAGATACACTACTAGCACTATGTGTTTCATTTGTAAGTCTTGTGGTCACAAACATAATAAAAGCCCAACAGGTGGAGGAGAAGAATATGTTATCTGTCAATTACAATGCTATACTATGGTGAAGTGATTAATAGGGGGAAATGTACCCAGAAAAGAACTGCATTGTTATCATAAGGAATAAAAAAAATTAGACTGCATATCATTTTGGTATAAAATTAGACTTTCAATATTACTGCAGACTAACAATGGATCAGTGAAATCTGTTGATATGTGCGCAACATATTAACATATCAAGACTTGTTATAACACATTGAAAATGTGAGAAGTAAAAGGTAAAAAAAACTATTTTTTTTTAAAAGCTAAAAATATGGGTAAAATGGAATGATGATAATACATAAAAAATACAAGTTGTAATACATTAAACTTGCAATGACATGTTATTGCACACTGATATTGTGGGGTGTAATGTCTCTTCGTACAATAAATAACATGAAATGTTACAGATTTAAAATGTTACAATATACTAGTACATCTGTAAATGTGATTATTAGCATTTGGTGATATTTGTTACACTTTACAAATAGGATAAGTTATAGTTCAAACAAATTAAGCTACAGTACAAAAACGATATTACAGTAGTAACACCTCTAAATATGAATATTCAAAATCAATGATTAGTTGCACTACAATGGAAATGTGTTTATCATTTCAAGCACTGTGAAATTGTATTGATCAATTCTAGTACATTTACAATGTAACTATTAATACTTGAAATATACTTATGTGGTTATCCATTCTAGCCAAGGGGGCTGCGTGGTCTCAAGGCATGGTGTCCGCCTCAAGTGCTGGAGGTTTCGGGTTCAATCCCTGGTAAGGGATGGGATTTTTTTTACGTGGACTTGGACTTCTGTTATAATTAGAGTTCTAGTTATAATTTCACCTGGGTTTCTGGGTAGTGAGATAGGAAGCCCGTGTGCAACAATGCACACATAAAAAAAAAAACCTTAATAGTTGGAAATCAAAAAGAGTAGCCTAACGGTCCTGCCCGGGCAAAATTTGGAGTTAAAAATCTACCCAAAGTATTTCAGGATTCTCGCCGGTGCTGCAGAACCTGTGCACTGTGCTGAGCTTCTTCGGACTCAGACTTAAGTTAGAAGAAGAACGGAGCACTTATGGGTTACTACCCCTGTGCCATGATGTTGGTCCGTTGTTCAAACTTCAGTTCTAGCCATACCTAGAATTTGATTGTTAATTCTAGCACACATAACAAATGAAGTTCTTACACAAAGAAAACACCAGTTATAAAGTTTGAAAGCTATGTTTGGAATGTTGTGTTTATCGTAAATTGTTACAATTACCATTTCTTTCAACTGAGAACCTCCTTCTATCTTCACAGCCACTATCATCGCTAACTGCATTTGGCCATTTTCAGGATGGTTTGACAAATAAGGGCTCAATGAAGTTCTAACACAAAGACCACACCAGTTATAAAGTTTGAAAGCTATGTTTGGAATGTTGTGTTTATCGTAAATTGTTACAATTACCATTGCTTTCAACTGAGAACCTCCTTCTATCTTCACAGCCACTATCATCGCTAACTGCATTTGGCCATTTTCAGGATGGTTTGACAAATAAGGGCTCAATGAAGTTCTAACACAAAGACCACACCAGTTATAAAGTTTGAAAGCTATGTTTGGAATGTTGTGTTTATCGTAAATTGTTACAATTACCATTGCTTTCAACTGAGAACCTCCTTCTGTCTTCACAGCCACTATCATCGCTATCTGCATTTGGCCATTTTCAGGATGGTTTGACAAATAAGGGCTCAAGCCTGAGGATTTAGAACTGTATTTGTCATGAACTGTGCAGGTCATGATACTTTTTTTTTGTGTGCCTCAGAAAGAAAAATATGTCCATCACCTTACTAAAGTCTCTTAAACCACTTGACCAGCGGTTCTTCGTTTACATGCACAAGGGCCCGGTTGGCTAGTATAGCTGGTTAAAGCTAACTTCGCGGCGACCAGGTAACAAACTCCTTGTGGTCAAGGTTCATGCCTGGGAGTATGCAGAAAAGCCACATTTCTCCCAGATTTACGGCATCTATCATGGAATCAAGGCCGAAGGGTTGCGATATCCATAGTACCGAGCCAAAGGGTTAACAACTGATGGTTTCTGGATATTAGAAAGAAAAAAAAAATATCCACAAAGAAATATAATAACCTTCAAAAAGCCAACTGACAGGTGGTTATTTAAATAAAATGAAGAAAACTTGACAAGGCATAGTAGACAACAAAAAAACAGTGCTGGTACTCACCAAAAAAGGTCAAAAAACTTGTTTCGGAACTCAGAACAAAGTGTCTTTTAGTGTAGTGATGAAAAAATGATACCTAAATAAAGGTACTGGTGCTAGGTACCATTATGTACAGAAAGGAAAAAAGCCCTAGTTATAATTTCTTACTTTCCTTGTGGATCCTGGCAACAAACTGACAGGACGATTGTAATAATTGCCACTAATCTGTAAATATTTGCTGCTGGTCAAAAGATCTTAGTTTGAAACCCACACTGCGTCTTGAGTTTTCAAAGTAGATCTTAGTTCTCAGGTCAACCAGCCTAAAATACGTGCTAGGTAATTTCCTGGGAAGTAAAGGTAGCTAGCATGATGCAAACCCCCATCATCCATAGAGTGTCCATTTTTAGTTATCTTTCTTTATTTACTTTTTTTTTTCTGGTCGTAAATGTGGATGGTCGTAAGTCGCATTGGTTGTATGTCAAAGATAAGGTGTAGTTTGTAGTCAGTGTGCCACTTCCATCCTTCTCTGTGATAAGCCTTCTCTTTCCAGTCGCCGACTCCAAGTGCTTGCAGATGTGCCTATATATTATCTCTCAGCAACTCTTGGTCTGCCTCATGGCCTATTCCCATTCAAATCTTTTGTGTAGTTTTGTTTGATCTCTGTTATCTACAATTCTCTTTATAAGGCCAAACCATTGCAGTCTATTAGCCCTCACCATGCCAACAATTAGGTGTCAAACAATGGCATAAAATGATGAAGTTTGTATACAGGGTACTGATGGTGAACGAAGGAATGAAATGATGCAGTTTGTAGTCACAGTGTTAATGGTGGTGCAAATCCACAGTGTTGCTTCTGCTATGACAAAACAGTTACATAAACAGTAGTCCTTGCATAAATTTCATTCTTTTCTTGTTGTCCTTTTCCGAGGGCTGCCAGATATCCTGCAAACATAAACCAAACAGGTGAATGAATGAATCAATGAATGAATTGATCAATCAATCAATCAAGAACTCACTGCACTCATGACATTCCTACACATGCTCCATCTCCTTCTTCAGTAGCCAACAAAGAGTCGACATGCTAAGAGTACCAGTGGCAACCTGATTCCACCTCTGTTTCTCCCTCAGTTCTAAATATCTTCCAGAACCTTTGCTCACCCTCCGTTGAATTAGTATTTCAGTAGATGGATTCTCCATCTGTTCTATCACCAAACAGTAAGATAATCCATGCCGGATATTGGATTAAAGGGTGTTGAGGTAGGGCTTTATTATTTTTTTTTTTTGTGTGTGTTCGCCAGCTGTAAACTCCGGTGGAAAGTTCTGGTTGTTCATCCACTTCTGGACTGCAGTCCTATTCCAGAACCTGAGTGTTGCATGTGCATCCATTTGACAGATCGACTAATTCGTATGCAGACTGCTGGTTCCTTGCCTCTCAGGCAGATGCACTCCGACTTCGAAGAAAGCTCCCAATTAGTCGACTCTTACGACATGCTATTGGGTAGGCAGTGGGTCTATTCTTGTTTTCCCTACAATAGGGCCCCGGAATCCACACAGGGTAGGGCTTTATTTGTTTCAGGTCAACAAATTATGAGGTGAGGTGTCCAGTTAATGTTTGCTGGAAAGTGATGTGAGACTGAAAAAAGTAAAGTAAAGGACCCTTTCCACGCCATTAGGCGTGATTTTGAGCTATGAGAAATTAGATGGCAAAATTATGAAAACTTACTTTGGTGATCCTTTCACCTCTTGAATCAAATCTCCTTCATCAACCTGAAAGAAAAGAAAAGAAAGGGTATAAATATCATTATCATCATGTGTCAAGCAAACAGGCCAGATGATCATAATCCTCGACAAACATCAGTTTTGTGTTTCTGGTAATTTCTTCTTCTTCCTCTTCACATTTTTACGGCTGTAAACTCCTGTGAAACGTTTTGGTAGTTTGTCCACTTCTGGACTTTAGTCTTGTTCCTGAACTTGAATTTTGCACGCACAGACATTTCTTCCTTTTCTTCTGTGTTTTTCCTCAAAAGGACGGTTGGTAAGCTACACTGTGTTTCACTGCTAGGCTGGATTATCTTTGCTTTTTGGCCACAGCAATCTCTTTTCGGCAAAACTTTAATTACCCACTCGTTTACAACATGCTTGTTATGGGGGCAGTAGGTCTTCTACATCCCCCCCCCCCTAGCCACACAACTATTCCCCCCAAATAAGGCCTCAGAAACAACATGAAGATGAAAAACAAATACAACAATAAAACATACCAGGTTTTCATTCAGACTGACCAAGTTTGCATCTGCCCCAAAGTCTGTGGCAGCATGTCCTATATCCTTCCCCTCCCCAGCTCCTGGGTCTGCCTGTGAGTGCTGCTCCTTTTCCACTTCTTTCGAAGCATGATCATCCTCTTCTTTAATTACTCCTATAGGATCTCGCACGTCCGGCATTGGGTAGTCAAACTTCTTACGATAAGCGACAACATCCCTCGACTGTCAAAACAAAATCAGACAATAAATTTTTGTTTCCAGTTACAATAAGCGACAAAATCTCTCACCTGTAAAAATAAAATTAGAAACTCAAATTTTTCCAGTTAGAATAAGCGACAATATCCTTCGACCGTCAAAACAAAAATAAAACAATGAATTTTTTTTTTATTTACAATAAGCGACAAAATCCCTCGACTGTCAACATGAAATCAGACAACCTTTTTTTTTTTTTTTTCAGTTACGATAAGCGACAACGTCCCTCGACTGTCAAAAACAAAATCAGACAATTATTACTTTTTTTTTTTTTTTTTTTAGTTATGAAAGCGACAACATCTCTCAACTGTCACATTAAATCAGACAATAGATTATTTTTTTTTCGGTTGCTACAAGCAACAACATTCTTCCAGTGTAAAAAAAAATGTAAACAATTATTTTTTTTGTGAAAGTTATGGTGGCCACAACCACCTACAACTACCAGCACAGATGCTGCACCTAATCAGAGCAAGAGGATGCCCAAGGAGAGGATGGACTGATGACATCTAAGATATTCTACATTAACAATGACTGACAAAAGCCAGTGCTACCCATCGAGCAATGGACTGCAAACTGTTCTTCTCCATGCCGCTCAAAATCAATAGTGGGCATAATGAAGTCAATAATATGACTTGAACTTTAACTTTAGAGCACTCCATGCTTCCGGCCAAAATGGCCGACAGCTGGCTGACTGCTGACGCTCTGAGATGTTACTTGTCTCCAGCCATGTTTTCATGATGCAAATTCCAATTTCTAGACCAGGAGTTCAGAGGTTCCATCACCCAGCTACAGAGCTGAGTACATGATGTGATACAGTGAGCTATGGATTTCATGTGGGATGTTTTTTCTGTTAAGCCCTCAGCTTGTTCTTGACTACACTAAAATGGCAAGTAGCCGATTAGGCTAGAATTGCACTTATATTTGTGGGTGCAAAGCCGGATTTCAGGACTGACCATCTGCGCCAACAGTAAGCTGCAATTCTACTGTAAGACCATTAATGTTGGCACTATTGACAGCTGCCTTATGCATTTTTACTCTGCGTGTGCACCCTCTAAGATTGTGTTGGGACTGACAAGTTTTACACTAGTTTTCAGTTAAAAACTTTTTTTTTAAACTTTCAATGGTACAGGAAAGGAGCAGCTATGGGATGAACCGTCTACAGTGATGGAGAAACTTCGCCTAATTCCTAACACCTTATGAAAGACTGACTAAGGTAAGGATAATTTCCTTGCAGAACTGCCTTTGGGATATAAACTGTTAGGCTTTCATATAGTCTAGGTCCTGATGTAGGAGGTACAATGGTCACCTGCGTTTGTTTTCATCTTTTACTCCGTAAAAATGTCTATGGCCAAAAATCCACAAACATTGCTACCGCTGACCTTGTTCAAGTTATACAGAACATTAGAAAACACAGAAATAATTCCCATATTTCCCCAACCCACCTCCCTCACCTCCTCTACTACCCTCCCTTTCTCATCCCCCAAAGACTGAGGTAACTAGAAGAAGAAGACAGACAGGCAGATGAAGAGGAGAAATAAGTGTAGAAGAAGAAAAAAAGATAAGGAGGAAGTGAAGAAGAAGGAGGAAGATGTGAAGAAGAAGGAAGATGTGATGAAGAAGAAGAAGAAGAAAAAGAAAAAAGAAAAAAAAGAAGAAGAAGAAGGAGGAGGAGGAACAAGAAATAAAGACTGAGGAAGACAACATAAACGTAATGACTACTCACCCTGCTGGATCCAGGCCTAGGGCAGAAGCATATAAACAGCAGAAGAACTGGCACAACAAGGATCATGGTGTAGATGACCCACAGCCATGGACGTCCTTCTGCTGATGTCTTAATGGCTTCCCATAATCCCTGTTTTCAGGAATATACAGATCTGCAGTTAAGAGAAAAGTTCTTGTGTCTGAATCAGCATAAAGTCTGAATGTATTTCAGAACTGTCCTTGGCCTTCAGGTTGACCAAGCCTAAAATGGGTACCCGGTAATGTCCTGGTACGTAAAGGAGGATGACATGATAATGACCAAATAAACCACACGGTGCTGACTGGTCTATCAAAGTGTAGTATCTTATGCCCAATATGTGTGAAAAGCGTCCTTAAATGTTTTTTTAAATAATAATAATAATTATTATTATTATTTACATAACAGGATATTCTTCACCCTATTAAATTGTAACTACGCCAATGTACGTCAAAGGTCACAAATTAGAAGAAGTCAATCATTTCAAATGGTTTGGTTATGTAATAAATTTGACATCAGGGAGCAATGTTATAAAAATATGGCGGTGACAGATTCAGAGGTGGACCACGCAGAATATGTACTGCAGAAATATCAGATACTGGAAAGAACTTTTATGAAGAAGGACCTGTTCTAGAGATCTCTTCCTGCCCTGAGGTCGAGAGGCATTCCAGGAATAGAGAAAAGAAGAAGAGGAATCATTTCAAATATTTAGGATCTATTTTTGTGACTGAGATGCAGACAAGAAATCGTGTCTAGGATTGCCCAGACAATAGTAGTTCTTGCCAATCAGTAAACATTATGGAGGTCCAAAACATTTCATTTAAAAGCAAGCTCTGCCTGCTAAAAGCACTAGCCATTAGTACAATTACATTTGGCTGTGAAACGTAGACCTTAATAGCTGAACTTGATAAAAGATACAAGCACTGGAAATGCGATCTTTCAGACCACAACACAAATGACGAAGTTTGCCGTATAATTGTGCAGCATGTTGGCAACTATGAACATCTTTTAACTTCAGTGAAAAGGCGGAAAATGCAATAGTACAGACATGTAATAAGATTTAGCGGCCTCTCAAAAACAATACTACAAGGCTCAGCAGAGAGGAAGAGGCAGACCATGAAAGACCTCGATACAGAACTTGACTGGACAGGCCTTAGGTATGCAACCATTAAGTACATCGTATCTGACCTTCAAAGATGGAGAGATCTAACCAAACAGTCAACAGCAACTGGTGACCTAATTACATGCAGTCTTAAAGGAGAATGATGGGGATGATTACATTTTATGGAATGTACTTACCAAGGAAGCATATGCATGTCGCTCCTGTATATTCTTCACATCCCAGGTGATGGCTGTAAACTTCTCAACCACAGTTGCATTGTCAGCAATGATAAAATTATCGAAGAGGATGTTGTCAGTCATAGACCAGAGTTCGAGCCCGACTGCTTGCTGGAAAAGAGGATAATCAAATAGAGTCAATATTTGAACACAGCAGACAAAAACAAAAGATTGCAAACATTATTGCCTGGCAGTTTGCAGTATAGCTACATGGGCTTTACACTGGAATCCCCAGTGGCACAGAAATAAAAGCGGCTAAAAAAAAGCAGGAGAATGGAACTATTTCTTAGCGTTCCCTGGATATAAACTCAGGTGGAAAGTTACGGTTGTTTGTCCAATTCTGGACGTCAGTCATGTTGCAGTACTTGAGTTTTGCATGCCCATCAGTTTTACAGAACTGGCTTATTTTTATGCATACTGTTGGTTCCTAACCTCTCAGGCAGATGCACTCCCACTTTGAAGGAAACATCCCTAACTGTTCACCAATTACAAAATCTTGTTAGGAAGAGGTAAGGGGGGGGGGGAGGCAGCAGTGGGTTTATTTTTTTTCTATGCAGAAGAGAACTAATGAGTGAAGATAACCCTTCACCGTGAGAAAGTCACTTTTTTTAAATATATTTTTTTTAACTTTTACAAGTTGTTGATGACATGAGATCTTTGGGTAGTGGTGAACACATCTATATAATAGCTATGATACAGATTGAAACTGCATAGTGTGTGAACATGATGGATATTATTTTATTTGAAGAAAGAAAAATCAAATTTGGAAATACATTATCTGTGGTCAAATTATCAATGTTTTGTTGCTGTGATGTCATAATAAACTTATGATGACATCGTTTTGTTCTGTGGAGGTGACAACAAAACTCCTGTTTTCCTGGTCAAAGAAAAAGAAAAGCAGTTATTTCTGTGCTACTTTATTTTCAGTGATTATTGCCATTATGAAAAAAAAAACTTTTTGCACAAATAAAATGACCTTGTGGGTTCCGAGGTCCCATTGTGAGGAAAATAGGAATAGACCTACTGCCTCACTAACAAGCATGTTGCAAGAGTCAACTAATTGGGCACTTCCTTCAAAGTCTGAGAGGCAAGGAACCAACAGTCTGCATACAAATAAGCAAGATGTGTCAAACAAATGCTCATGCAAAACTCAGTCCTGGAATAAAGCCAAAGTCCAGAAATGGATGAACAACCAGGTCTTTCCACTGGGGTTTCAAGCCAGTGAGGGCAAACAATAAAATGACTCTAAAATTTCATTTTTTAGAATGTGGCGGTCATGATGATGCAAAGGCTAGCAGGCTTACCTGTCTGCTTCACTGTCATAAGTTTCAAAACCCTAAATTTATATAAAAAATGATAAAGATTCTGCTTCTTCACCTCTTTCTCTAGTTTCTTAGGTTACAGTTTAACTAAATTATTTTTAAAAAATTATTTTTGTAAACAAAATTTTGAAAAAGTTAATTTTTAAAAGTTTTAACGGAATGAAAGAGTTAAAAAGACGGGAGGATGTAGGGCAACCACTAGTATCCACAGTTAAAAGACAAGGAAAATGATGCTAAACTAGACACATTCTAAGAAGAGATGAACAGAGAACCACCAAACAGGCACTAATATGGGAAATAGGTGGAAGGACGTGGAAGAGAATCCTAATGTCGAACTTTAATGAAAGAAGACAAAGGTGCTGGATTCCACCATGATATCGAAGTGATTGTAAAGGATAGAACAGAATGAAGAAATAGACTGTGAGCCCTATGTGACACATAATAGCATAATCAATGAATAAATTCATATTCTTTGTTTGATTTCTATTACCTTTAAACACTATGAACATCCCTTAACTTCCAGAAAGTAACAGCTATTGTATGAATGACCACAACAAAATCATATAAATGGCCACAGCCCAAAAACGGCTCAACAACCCTCGCTAACAGCAAAGTTACATCTGCATATTGGAACTGCATTTCTAGTGTCAGACTGTTTGTGTTAGCACTTCTGACAGCTGCCGTACGTATTTAATGGCTGTGAATGCTACTGGTCAGCGTCTGTGGTTTAGGCATTGCAAATGCGACTGGTAATGCCGGGTTCAGTGCCAGCTACAGGCGATTTGGCAGCAGACTGTCTTACATTGGTTTCAACAGTGGTACCGAGAGTCGATTTTTCATAAAGCAATGGCAAATTACTGAACGTAAATTTGCGTCGAAAAACGACAACAGCCAAAAATGCTGGGGTTGGTTCTGCAACATCCTGTAAAGGGCAACATCCTGTAAAGAATACACAACTAACAACGCATGCTACTGGATTTTCTGGGACTGCAGTCTGTGCCAATTTTTTCCACAAGGGAAAGTGATGGACATTCTGTGTGGTTTTTCGAACGGCACAGGAACACAGCAGCTATGGGGTGATCTGGTTTCCATGAAATTGAAACTGCAATTATCCGATTACCTGAAAGTTACATCTACTGACAAACAGCACTCACAATTGGTGTCATGTTGTATGGATTACTGTCCTCAAAATAATTTGGATTGGGGATCTTTTTCGGTATCCATTCTCCGCGGTAATTAGGGTTGTCAATCATTGGTTGGCTCCAGATTCCCTTGTACTTGGGGTTGGCAATTGCGGGTTGTTCCCACTTTCCACAGCCGGGCGCGTTTTTGCAGTTGGGGTTGTCTGAAAGAAGATTTTTACGGAGGTGATTTAATGCTATCATTACTTTACTTCTAGATACAGATTCTTGATTACGACCGAGCTCCATTCCGACTAACAGGCCGTAAGTCAAACTGGCATTTTTAACACTAGTTTCATTCAAACAGGTTATTTAAAAATGCATTCATAAAAAAACAAAAATGCAATCCTTGTAAGTATAATTTATCGGTGTCAGTGGCTTAGGCATTGCGAATGTGCTTTCTGATGCCGGGGTGCCAGGTCAATCCTAGCAGCGGATGATCTGTCTTGGATTAGTTTTGAAAGTGGTACCGAGAGCTGACCTCTCAGGAAGAAATGGCAAATTAATGAATGTAAAATCTGCCTAGAAAAACCACAACAGCCCAAAAATGCTGGGGTTGGATCTGCAACGTCCTGTAAAGGATACACAACTTGCTTTTTTTTTTTAAAGGACAATTTATGTGCAAAATGTGAAAAATATATAATATTTACTCTCCTGCATCAGTTCTGGTAAATAATTGAAGCTAACAATGTAGTTATCTTTATTTATTTACTATTAGTATTTATTTATTTTGTGTGGTCATAAGTGCAGACAGTCAAAGTCACAGAGGTCATAAATCAAGGAGGTGTAAAACTGTATAACACATTGTGTGCCATCTCCACAATGAAGGTTGGCCATAGTATACCCACTGCTGTCTCTGGAAATACTACGTGGTGAGGCCCCAATTTCTTCCACAATTTGACTATCATACCACTGTCCAAAAACCATGAAAGCAAATTTTTTTTTTTTTTTAAAACAATCCAATGTAGAAACTGAAAACTAGTACTAGAGGATCATGAAATTGTTAAATGCATTCACTAATCTCTAAGCCAGAGAGGGGCACAACTTCCCAACAGTCACAAATTGGTGTTGAAATTTCACTTCTTCACAAGTGATAACAATAAGCCTAGATCCACCTTTTTGTCCATATTCTTAATGCTATTGATAATACTTATTATTTTGTGATGTATGAATGAAATGATCTAAGAGCGGAGGGAAGCCTAGAAGGGCAGAATTTTAGACGGGCTTGCGTGCCCAATTCTTAACCCTTTAAAAAAAGTGTGTTTGGTCCTTCGTAAGTTGCAATTTTCTATCTGAATTTAACCCTGCCACAAATCAGATTTGTAACAGCTTTGCACTAATATACAGTTCCCCAAAATTAGAGGACAATTTTGTGCCTACCTGTAAAGTTTTCCACTGCAAATGAAAATTGTACCTAGATTTTGCCCCCACCACAAATAAAAATTATATACCTATGTGTAGACTTCACCAGAAATGACAATTATGTATATTCATCCAGCTTTCACCACAAATTATAATTTTGTTTACATATATCCAGTCCTCATGACAAATGACAATTGTTTATATATGTGTAGCCTTCAACACAAATGACAATTTGGTATGTATGTGTAATCTTCGCTATCAATGACAATTTTGTACCTATGAATAACCTTCACCACAAATTACAATTCTGTACCTATAAGTAGCCTTCAATATCAATGGCAATTTTGTACCTATGTGTAGCCTTCAGTACAAATGACAATTTTGTACCTATGCAAAGCCTTCACCACAAATGACAATTTTTTTACCTATGTGTAACCTTCACTAGCAATGACAATTTCTTACCTATTTGTAGCCTTAAACACAAATGACAACTTTGTACATATGTGTAGTTGTCACCATCAATGACAAATTTATACCTATGCATAGCCTTCACCACAAATGACAATTCTGTACCTAGATGTAGCTCCAATAATAGATCACAATCTTGCACATACAAGTAGCCATAGCACAAATGAAAATGTTGTACCCAGATGTATCCACCATTACAAATGACAATTTTGTACCCAGATGTATCTCCCACCACTAATGACAAGTATGTACCTAGATGTAGCCCCATAATAAATGACAATTTTGAGCTATTTTAAACTTTACAAAAGCACTCTGTTTAGTAATAAAATACACTAAGTGTGATGGATTGCAAAATGAATTCAATCTACATTTTCATCCTTCCATACATCCAACCATCTATCTATTTATCCACTCACTGACAATCCACCCACACCCAACCATTTACCAATAAATACATTACCCATCCATCCCCCATTCATTTATCCATCCATATAAAGCGTGAAAATCTGAAACAACTCACCCATTGAAGGAGGTTCCCATTCTCCATCGATGTCATCATCCCTGCAAACAAAGAAGCACTGAGTGATTACAGACATCTAGTTTGCGGTAGTAAGAGTTTTGACTTCTGGCCCAATTTGGTGGATAAACCAGCTGACTGTTTTTAGTCAAGGCAAGTTATTTGCTTCTGACTATATTTCATTACCATATCTCCCCCCACATGTGAAATGAGATAATATAGTTCTGTTGTCCAGGTACTGAGCTGGGTGCATGGCCTGATGCTGTTAAGATGGGCATTTCATTTAGAGTGCTTTTTAACAATGGTCAATGTGGTTTGTGTTGTGAACTGCAGATTCAGAAAATAGTGTGTGGCCTGTTGCCACAGAACTGCTTGTGCCTTATGCAATTATTTGTGTGTGCAACTCCTGATTTGTTGTATTGTTGCTTCTATTGATGATGATGAACTGCCTTTCTAGTGCAGGAATGTTTGTGTTGGCATTTATGATGGCTGCCTTATGCATTCAATGTGTGTGTTTGCTGTGATGTTGGAACTGTGATTAACTGACTGCTAATGTCAGAGGTTCTTGAGACAGAAACATATAATCCTACATTCAAAGTAGACAACTGTAACTTCTGACCATCTTCTCCTTCTGTGTTCAACATCGTCCATGCTGTAAACCACTTTTTTTTTCTATTTTGTGGTCTTCATATTATTTTTTTTGAGTGGCACCATCCCTTGATTTTCCTCCATAACATAATGTGCTTAATTTTAAATATAGTCAGAACATGCTAAAAAATCTGGCTACCACAATGGTAATTTTCACTGTTTATACTGCCACTCTGAAATTAATACTCTTATGACTTTTCATCATGCTTATTGTTAAGGGGTCTGCTACATCATTTACAAATTAACCAAGTGGCAAAGGTGGCGAGAAATGCAGCTATCTATCCCTCAAATTATGCCATGATCCAATATAAGTTAATTCCTATTTTTTTAAACACCTCTTTGTCTTTGGGCTACCTTTCACAGGAAAAAAGGCTTCTTCTTCGAGTTCACCAGTTGTAAACTTTGGAAGAAAATTCTGGTTGTTTGTGCATTTATGGACTTTGGTCTTGTTACAGAATTTGAAATTTGGTGCACATTCGTTTTACAGATGGGACTTTTTGTTTTTGTTCCATGCCTCTTAGGCAGATGCGCTCAGAATTTGGAGGAAACACCACTAATCAGTCACCACTAATCAGTCGCTTTCTATGACATGCTTGTTAGGGAGCCAGTGGGTCTATCCTCTTTTCCCCCAAAATGGAGCCCCCAAAACCCTAAGGAGGAAGAAAGGAAAAAAAAGATTCACTGTACCAGTCATCAGGCTTGACCGCATCAGGATCTGGGATGTACATCTCCTCCTCCTCCAACCAACCTAGTGGCTTCAGAGCATTCTCATCTATGATGGTCTCTGGCTCAGTTTCATCCCTGGGTGAAGATATAATGGTGAATGTGTGTCAATGTAAAGAAGGGATAAGTGCCAGAAGAATGTTTCAATAAATCAGGAAAACACCTTTAAAGGGAAGGGCATGAAATGAAGAGCCAGGAGATAAAAGAATTAAGTAATGAAGGAGTAGGATGAGAAGAAGAAGAAGACAAAAAAGAAGATAACAAATGGTGAATAAGTCATCACTGCAAAGAAAAGATAAGTGCTCGAAGAAAGTTTCAATAAATCATGAACACGCCTATAGAGAACAATTGAATGAACGAACTTTATTTCTGACAGGACACAATTGAGCACGCAGACCCATCTTACATTCGGCTTTTGCAAACACTCATCTTTCATACACCAATAGTATTTCACATATCATGAATATTATGTTCACATATCATTAACAGTATAAATGCAAATTTAAAATGCAAAATTATGAATAAGTGGTCAATGTGAAGAAAGGTAGTAGAAGGATGTTTCTTCTTCTTCTTTGCGCTCACTGGCTGTAAACTGTGGCAGAAAGTTTTGGTTACCCATCCATTTTTGGACTGTAGTCTTGTTTCAGAATTTTAATTCTGCATACACACATATTTGACAGAACTAGCTTGTTCTTATTGAGTCCATGGGTTGCTCACCTCTCAGGTAGATGCACTCTAACTGCGAAGGAAAATCCACCTAAAAAATCAGCTTTGATGACATGCTTGCCGGGAGGGGGGGGGGGGGGGGCAGTGTGTCTATTCTTTTTCCCCTACAGTGGGGCCTAGGAACCTACATGTGGACAAACAATGGTTCAAAAATGAATTAACCAAGAATCGACATCACTGCACTTGGGAGGAGATTCCCCTACGTGCTCTGTCCCCGTACCCAGTAACCTACAAAGAGTTCCCTTACAGACGGTGGCAATTTCAATCTCAATTAAAAGTCCACCTGTTTTTCCCTCGCAGGCAGAGTCATCCAGATCCTCTGCTCCATCTCAGCTGAATCATTCTCTCCAGATCAGGATGTTCTCTCTGTTCTGCTGCATTATTTACTTGATCTCAGTGAGCTTTCACTATGTCTGTTTTATTGTAAAGTAGCTTATAGCCCAGAGGGGCCGCAGCAGTAATCTATCACCTTCTCATTACTATGTACACCTGAATATCCATGGCAACAAAAAATTCATGTTGAGTTTTTTATGTCAGTCTTGTCAAAAACGCAAACCACTCTGAATGCAAGGCACCAGTTTCTATTTTCTGAGCATGAGCTGTGAGTCAGTTACAATTACACCATATGGGGCTGTACTACTCTCCAGCCATCAGCAAGCTTCTTCTGTTGCTGCCTCCACCTCAGTTCTCATGCTAGATATGACATTATACATGAAGCCTTTTTTTTTTTTAAACTACTGCCACTATCCATTGCAATGAAACCCCATTCACTCTTTTCTGTAACTTTCTGCCAGAGTTTACAGCGGGTGAACGCGAAGAAGAAGAAGAAAAAAGAAGAAGAAGAGACGAATTAGCCACTGAGGAAGCAAGTTATATTTAGAATGCTCTGATCAAATATAAAAAGCCTCAATAAGATAATACATGAAAGACAGAATTTACTGGCAATCACATGTTGCAAAAAAAAATAAGAACAAATATAGTTTTTTTCACAATTATGATGAAAAAACTCACCAGTCAATAGGTTTCTTGGCGTCAAGATCCGGAATCCTGGAGGGAAAAAATATATATAAAATATGATGTCATAACCAAGTTATCAAGACAGGTTGACAGGCGAAGAAAACCCTGTGGAAAGAAACATCACAATGTGCAGATGTAGGCTTTCTACTTTATGGGAGCTAACAGTTAGTTAGGGAGTCGCCGGAGTGTAGCAGCTAGACACTCACCAGTGGATCGAAAGGTCACATGTTCGGGTCCTGATGGTACCCGACTTTTTTTTTCGATTGACCCAGTTTTTAGTAGGTTTTAATCTAGATTGAACAGGTGGTGTCCAGGAAGGTAAAGGTGGTCAGCATGATGCTGGCCACATCTAACACCAAATGCTGATTGGCCTATTAAAAAACACAGGTCTAGCCCTATATGCCAAATACACAAGAAAGCATGGAAAGGGTTCTTTACTTTTTTCTTTTAAAGCTAGTTAAAGAATGTTACAGAACTAACCCTGCTGGCTGTTTGTGATTGTTACTAGATATTTGTATGTTCACGTAAACAGGTGGTGACTGCAGTCAGGATGACAAGAAGTTCTGCAATATAGTCCGTCATGTCCATATTATGTATACTCAACCCTGCTACATGGTGCAGAAACCTGGACAATGAACAAGTTACTAGAAAATCAAACTTAGTCTCTGGAAATGTGGATATACAGAAAAAAAGATTGTATTTCATGGAAACAAAAACAGTCCAATACAGAGGTTCTGGAAATACTATAAATGAAAAGAGAATTACTTAAAGAAATTAAAAAGTCGCAACTGAAATACTTTAGCCACATTAAAAGACACAACATGCTTTTAAAAACCATACTGAAGGGAAAGTCGAGAGCAAGAGGTAGAAAATGTTACAAGTGGGAGGACAACATGAAGAGATGGACAAACAGCTGTCTCAGAGAGTGTACAACCAAGACAAAAAATAAATTGTGGTGGAGGTCCATTGCAGCCAACCTTTGTGGTGGAGGTCCATTGCAGCCAACCTTTGTTGTGGAGATGGCACCTAATTGATTGTCCACATGCCCCCACCCCCATATTTTCTTGGTGTCATGTTGACCTTGGTTGTTCAGAAGCTCTCCTGCCTTATCTGTGGAGTTTTCCAGTCACAGTTTGTGTTGTTTTTAAGTACACTATTGATAAAGACTGGTCAAAATGTTTGATTGTATTTGTACGTTGTCTTTTCCATTCACTCCACTGAGCTTTCTAGTCGTATTTTATGTAGTTGTGTTTAGCAGTTCTGAATGGTCAGCTCCCTACTACTGTCAAAATCCATGCAAAGCGATCTGCTACCAATCTGCCAGCAGTTGAAATCAAATCACGTATTTAAAAACGACAAAGCACATTCACAACACCTAAGCAACAGATGCCTTAGGGTACTCAGGGTGTACTGAACTATACACGTCCATCCCTATGTGGGATGCAATTTTTCGTTATTTGAAGCTCCACCTCGGCTATTGCCAGAGACCAACAGGTTTCTAGAACCTTTCCCCGGGGGGATCATCATCTGAATGTCGTTTATTGCTCTGTGTATGTCATAAAAGATTACTAAATTAGGGATTTTATAAAATTAGATGTGTTGGGCCAAAAGGCGCAAATATCACAGCCTAGCCATAAACCACAACACAATGTCCCAACCACCCACTTCAGCGTAAATGCACAAGGAAAAGGATTTATTTTCATGCACCCATCTATAACACTAGTCAACAATGAAAATGTACCAGCAATGACAATAATGGATCTTAACAAATTTTGGTGTGCTAAAATGACTTTAAAATATGTTGACTGGCTCTAGTTTTCAAAATATATGCCATAACTTAATTTAATTATGGTTAATGAAGAGGATATAGATTTAGATTTATAAGATCTTTCGACTTCTGCACTGTAAAGAAATACAATATAAAAACTTTCTTCTTAAGAATATTTCAAATTTTTTTTTTCAATCAACAGCAAAATTCATTCTTACTTCTCCCTGTTATCCCAGTCTTCAGGTTTCTGGTCATCTGGATCATCAACCTCTTTAGGTGGGTTCACTGACGGACTTAGAAAGAAGAGTAAACAATATGGTTAGGTAATTGAGTTTATTTAAACAATGGGACCAAGGCAATACACTGCAACAATTTATTGCTTGGCATTTTTTGATGTGTCTCGTCAGTTTCATGACAGAGTTTATATCAATATTTAAAATATGAATCCTCTGCAAATGAAATACACAAATCACACAGTCTCTAAATACAAATTCTAGATTGGCTATGTGAAAAACAACATATGTCATCTGGTTTAGGGCCGTTAACAATGTCATCATGTAAATTAACTCTTTCTTCTTCCTCTTGGCGTTCACTGGCTATAAATTCCAGCAGAAAGTTCAGATTGTTCGTCCACTTCTGGACTTTGGTCTTGTTCCAGAACTTGAGTTTTGCGTGTACATCCGTTTTGCAGATCTGACTTATTTGTGTGCAGACTGTTAGTTCCTCACCTTTTAGGCAGAAGCATTCCGACTTTGAAGCAAATACTTCTAATTAGTCGCCCTGTACGACACGCTTGTTAGGAAGCTGCAGTGGGTCTATTCATTTTTCTTCCCCAAAATTTGGTCCTAGAACTGACACAGCAATTAACTCATTCAGTAAGAAACAGTTGTTACTTTACTCCCTCTGTCCCAAGGCATTAGGCTTTGAAACAAGACACACTTAGGTTTAACTCTCTCATCCTAGAAGCACAAAACTCAGCGCATCAGGTTTGCGCCACAGCCCCATAAATGTCCCTTTCCCGGCTTGCTACAGACGCTTATTTATGAGGAGCCCTGCTAACAGCATTGCTTCCATTTTTTCCTGGCAAACTTTTTAGAGTGACTGGGAAAAAGCATAGTTGATAAATTTTTACAAATAAAAAAAAAAAAACATTTAGTCACTAAGGGTTTCCTTTTGGAAAATGGCTTTATTCGCAAAAACTGGGATATCAGAATTTCCCACTAATTAACTGATAATGGATGACCTGGTCATGGCTAAAGAACAAGTCAAGCTAAAACAAACAAATGTGAAAACCAGACAGACATCACCCAGTCAATGTTCTGTCACATTGATGTTTATTGATTACTACCAAGATTTTGTATGCAATTAAATATTAATCTCGTCCATAAATGGAACTGTTATGCGGTTGTTTTTTTCAGTGTGACCTGTGTAAAATGGCTTCTGTTTTTGAAGGAAAATTTTGTGAGAAATTCCAAAAATTTGGGTTTCTGGCATTTCCCCCCCCCCCTCCCCCCAGTTAATTGGGGTGAAAGGTTTAAAGTTGTTGAAAATAAACACAATGGTGCAGAAGTAATGAAACTAACCAATTAGATACACAGAGTTAACATAACCTGTCTCTGTGAGAAAGGCAGCAACAATATCAAATTACCCTTGGAATGACCAATAATGATAAATTGCTAGGTACTGCAATAGTTATGAATATCATCATCATCATCATCAAGTGACATGGGTGATTATGCTTCTCGACATCCCTGTGTGGGTTACAAGAACCAAATTTGGTGGGACAAAGAATGTAGAACTCTATTTCTCCCCCCCCCCCACCCCCCCCCCCCCCCCCAAACAAATGCCTTGCTGAGGATTCAAACTTATCAATCTACATTGCTTCACCAGTTGTTTACTTACTTACTTTACTTACTTAGTCACTCCTCTTCTACGCTGGGATGTAGAGGTTTACCAGAGAGATCACCGGACCTATCTAACAGCAGTTTTCTTTTAGCACCAGCTGCTACATGGATATATATATATATATACACACACATCTGCGATGGCTGATGAGGATGGGAACGGAGCGCGTATGGGAATGCCCAGATTGCTGTAATATTAATTCTTGACTCAACTCAACATATATACACATACACATAATGTTGTTTTTCTCAACACAATTTGAAATACCTGAAGTTAGTCAGCAAACTGCCTGCAGATATCACTTTCTTGTCCACTCTTATTTCATAAGTATTATCTGGCCTCACAACTGAAATATACAATATTATGATGCAAATGTCGTAATCTAATGACAGGCAAGCTTGTCTTTTCTGGGTGTAACATCCAGGACAGACACATATCTCACTCTCCAGCTGAAGAACTCAGGAATATACTGAAAAAAGTGTTCTGCTAGTGTATCTAAAGGAAGCAAATCATTTTCAGTCATCTATTCAAGAACTGCCAGCTACAGCAAAACCTGAGAAAAAACACACGGACAGAAGGAAGAAGCATCCAGAAAAAAACTTTGGGATAACCCTAGGAGACTTGTCACTGGCATACCTGTTCAAAGAGGCAACCCAACTCATAACCTGAGCATAAGAAACTAATCATAAAGAAAGAGAAAAAGGAATTCAAGAAGTCGTACAAGAGGGAACAACTTGCTTCGATGGAGGTTGACAACAACTGTAGAGAGATGACAAAGAAGCCCTTAGATGAGCTTTTCTATCACTGATGACTGCGTAAAAGAGATTAGGCTTGCTATCAGTGATACTTGGTGTAAAGAGACATAAGTCTGCTGTCTGCAACACATAGCGTACAGAGACAGTCTTGTTTTAATGACACCTAGTGTAAGTCTTTATCAGTGACTACAAAACAATGTAAATAGACTGAGTTTCCTGTCAGAGACATGTAGTGTAAAGAGACAATATTCTACCAGTAATAACACTTACTTAGTGTAAAGAGGTGGGTCCTTCTATCATTGAAGTAATCATCCATCTTCACTGTTGGTTTTTCAGCATGCTTCTCCTGGAAAAGTAGACACATACTGAGCTCATGAATGCTGTAGCCAAATCAACATTACTCTTTCGGAATAATAATGAGTTTAGCTGTTTGCTTATCACATATCTGCTACCCCCCCCCCCCCTTCCCCATTTTCCCCGGGTAGTGAGCTTATTTATGATAAAGCAGACTTTGTGAAGGCTCTTTGGTATCAAGATAAACAGGGCAAAGGAGAGACTGAGCATCCATATTTGATGAGAATTGTTCAGTTGAGAGGGTCAGTCTTCTTCTTCATCTTCATGTTCACCAGCTGTAAACTCCAGTCCTGTTCCAGAACCTGAGTGGTGCGTGCACATCCTTTCGGGAATATGCACTCTGACTTCAAAAGAAGCTGCCTATTAGTCGATTCTTATGACATGTTTTTGGGCAGATAGAGGGTCTATTCTTGTTATCCCCACAATGAGGTCCCAGGACCTACACAGGGAGAAGGGTCAGCAACCATGGCACAACTCCAATCTCAGCCATTAAACTTGGCACAAGAAAACCAGACCATAATTATAGACCTAAAGCTCCCTAGGAGCTGGCTGAATGAGGCCAATTTTAGTAAAATATTTTTTTAATGTATCTTTTACTTTTAATCATGTGAGCTGAGAATGAGCAGAGTTAGGTCGGGTTTCTACCCGCAGGGGGAAAACAAGAGCACTTTAAATCATGTTGCAGCTGGCGCCATCAATATGGGAACTTTTCTTTGGCTACTGAGGAAGTGGTGGAGCACATATAGGAATGTCATGCGTGCAGTTATGTCCATTCCTGATTCATTCATACCTTTTATTTTGTCTCCTGTTTTCTCCTGGAGAACAGGAAAGATAAGTGGAAGCATAGGCAGATGGTAATAAATTAAGCTAGGCAGCCCTGGTCTTGAAAAGGGTGGCTGGCATATTGTATTGTGGTTTATAGATAGGCCATGATACTGGCCACTTACTGGCCAACACATCCAATTTCAGTAAATTCTTCAAAATTCACCTCTCATCACATGTTGTTAGTGGAAGTGGGGTCTAGTTTCAACCCCCCCCCCCCCCCCCCACCCCACACACCAATACCGCCCCAGAACCACACAGAGATCTCAAACATTTAAACTTCAAGACTTTTTTATAGCCAGAATTGACATGTACTGTAAACCAGAGATCCATCTGTAAGTGACAAAACTTTGACGTTTGCTGCAAAGAAATTGGATCTTTTAATTTTTAATAATTAAATAACATGGAATTAATTAATTAAGAACTTATAACAAAGATAGTGGGGTATACAAACCTCAAACTCGCCAGTTTTAGGATTTCGGTGGCGGAAGATAAAATGGACCTAAAAAATAATAACATGAACTTCATTATAATAAGATTTGTGATGTCATTTAAGAATATGCAACTAACTTTTTTTTTTTTTTGTTGTGTTTTATTTTTGTTGAAATAAAGCAAAAAGTTAAAGTTAATCCTTTCAATTAAAATACACAAATCACATAGTCCATTATTCAATGTCTGCATTACCATGGCAGTCTAAGACTAAAGAGACGTTCCTTCTGTCCGCATAACATATGCACTGCTACTGTTTTCATTATTTATATTCACCAGTTACTTAACAATGATGTATGATATCAAACACGGCAATAATTATTTAACAAACACACTTAAAATATGTTAAAACTTAACCATCTATACTTCCACAGTTTGTTACATTTAATACATAATCTACGCCAGTAGTATCAAACCTTTTTCAGGTAGTGCTCCCTCTTGAGTATATCACAAGACCTGATGCCCGCCCCCCCCCCTCCTTGAGTATATGGCAAGACCCCCCCCCCCCCATACCCCCTCCCTTGATTATATGGCAAGAACCCCACGCCCCCCCTCCAACTTAAGTATATGGCAATACCCCCATCTGAGTATACTGCAAGACCCCCCACGCCCCTTTCGCCTTGAAACCTCCTTACAACCCCCCTAGGGAGAAGCACCCCCAGGTTCGACACCACTGATATATGCAGTATTAACTATATGTAACTGGCAAGCATAAATGTCCCATACTTAAACAGATAAAACTATATATCTCTCTCAATTATTCTCTTCTTCGTGTTTACTGGCTGTAAACTCTGACGGAAAGTTCCGATTCTTTAATCACCTCTTGTTCCAGAACCTGGGTGTTGTGTGCACATCAGTTTTACAGAGCTGACGTATATGTATGCAGACTGCTGGTTCTTTGCCTCTTGGACAAATGCACTCCAACTTTAAAGGAAGCCCCCCCCCCCCCCCCCCCCCCCCCAGTTAGTCTATTCTTACAACATGCTTGCTGAGGAGGCAGTGGATCTGTTCATGTCTTCCCCACACTGAGGCCTCAGAACCCGTAAAGGGATTTCCCAATTATAATGCAGTTGAGTTTAACAGGATATAGTTGTTTATATTACTATTACTTCACCAGAGTGCCAGCTATGTAACTACCCCTACGAAACTGTTGAACACCATCTCTTTGAGTGCCCAAAACTCAGTGAGACAAGAAGAACGCTAGTCCCTCCGAGAAAAGACAAGTGGAACACCTTGTGCGGAGGAAAAGAACAGCTTGTGAAAACATGCAAATTCCACTACATGGCATTGGGCCAAAGGGCGAAAGCTCATGGGCCGCTGGATCGATAACAACAACAACATATTACTATTACTAAACATGGTTAAAATAACAATACCTTATGGTCATTTCCGCACTTGTCTGGTCCAAACATGATTGTGTAGGGTGTTTTGTCTGTAAATTGCTTCTGCAGATATAGTAATTATAATAAATTGGTGAACGGAAATGAATGAATGAAGCAAGAATTGACATCACTGCACTTTGGATACTCCCTCATATGCTCTGTCCACTTCTTCAGCAGCCAACAAAGAGTCGACATACTAATAGTATCAGTTTGTAAATGTCTGTGGTTAATGGAAATACATGGATATTATGCCCATTTTCTGTTGTGTTTGCTGGCTGTAAAATATGGTGGAAAGTCCTGGTTCTTTCTCACACTGACTGGTCTTAGTCCTGTTCCAGGACATGAGTGTTGCATGCACATAAATTTTACAGAAATGGCTTGTTTCTGTGCAGACTGTTGGTTTCTTGCCTTTCAGGCAGATGAGCTGAACATCTGAACTTGTAAGAAAACACAAGAATTGGAAATTAAGATTTTTTTTTTAAAGATCCTTGGTATATCATATAGAAACCACATTAGAAATGCCAAACTGTGTTGTACAATCAGGTAACATATTGGCAACTATGAGCATCTTTTAACAGCAGTAAAAAGTCAGAAAATGAAGTGGTACAACACATGTAACAAGACATACACCGGCCTCTCCAAAATGAGACTAACAGGGTTCTGTACAGGGGAAAGAGAAAAGGAGAAGCAGCAGACTAATATGGGCCTAGAGACTGATTTTTATTAGTGTTCACCGGCTGTACATTCTGGCAAAAAGTCCTGGTGGTTCGACCACTTCTTGACTTTGGTCTTGATCAAGAACTTTTGCGCAAATGTTTTACTGATCTCACTGATTTGTATGTGGAACCAAAACAGTATCATTAGTATTTATTCAGTATTTGGTAGATCAGACAGTCTTCAAACATGCAAACATCAAGTTCTATCACACCATACCAAGAGAGAATGGAAGGAACTGATCAGACAGTCAACAGCAACTGGTGACCCAAGGACATGTAATCTTATGGGACTTTGATAACGATACCACACAATGATACTTTAAATGCACAATAGAAAATGAAATTACCATGTGGCTCTGCAACAAACTGAACTGTTTTTGCCCAGGATATTCTGGGGCTTGGGGTAATGAGCAGGCTGATAGACTGGCTGCTGCTGCTCCTCGGGTTGAGAGCAACTTTATGATAAAGCCACCGTCGTGAATGCTCTCTGGGATGAAGTCAAAAGTACACACAGAGACTATAGAGTATCCATACCTCGAGAGACTAAATAAGGTTGAGCTGAGGATCTAACATGTTTCAACATGCAGAGGAAGACAGGCAGACTTTTAATCAGGTTGCAATTAGCAACATCAGTATGGGAACTCGTTGTCTACTGAGGAAGAGGACAGAGGATGTGTGGGAATGCACCAGGTGTAATGAAGTCAATTTTTTATTCATTAATTTGTTACACTGACTTGTGATAATGACTTGTTCTTTTCAAGTCATAATATGAAGATCATCTTGTATTCAGAATAGCAGCTTTCTGCTTCACCAGATCATTCTTCTCTTTGCATGTGACATTCATTTTGCTGCACCTTCCCTAGCCAGTCGATAAGCACTCTCTTATGCAGGAACACCATAGTGAAATGGTCTACACTGAAAGGTGTCTTTCTCCTGACCGCTAAGTTTAGTTGGACTAAAAGTGTTCGATCACTCAACGGGTTTGTCATCTCTGGACTGCTACCTGGCAGTTTACCACCCTAAAATTCACAAAAATCTTAATTTGGATAGCAGACCACCAGGACAGATGCCAGATATCCTGTTGAATCTCCAAACAAGTTCTAATCAGGGCACTTTCCTCTGCCTGAGAGGTGAGGAACCAACAGTCTGCTTACACATGAGTCAGATCTGTAAAATGGATGTGCATGCAACATTCAGGTTCTGGAACAGGATTAAAGTCCAGAATTAGACGAACACCCAGAATTTTCTGCCGCAATTTACAGCCGGCGAACAAGAAGAAGAAGAAGATAATTAGGACAACCATAACAGCTAAACCAGCTGGGTGTAACTTGCAGTCCTGTGCTGGTAAGGAAGAGTGTACAGATATACTGACAGTGTTGAAACAGACACACTTACTGTACTATGAGTGTCTTCCCATCAAACTCAAAGACTTTATCCAGCTTTGCAGAGATTGCATGATGCTTGGCCTTGGACTGGAAAAGAGCAATGAAATCAATCAGCTATTGTTATGACTTTTAACTTAAGGTTCTCTTCTTGATTTTAAAATAATTTTTTTTCTTAACACCTTTGCCCTGCGATTGCTACAAAATAGGTCATAAACCCACAGAAACTCCTGGAAATTTGGGTTTTTTAAAAACCATCATTATACACAGGTCACTAATAAGTTCTGGTTTAATGTATCTATCGAAATTTTCAATTTTCCATTAAAATATACACAAAGTTATATAAAAGGGGGTAATCAATCAACATAGAGTGAAGCATTAAATAGGATACATTTCCCGGGCGCCTAAAAAAAATATGCATTGGATGTCTAATGTCGTGACGCCATACCTCTATCACTGAGGCTTACTGGAAAATGTTACATCAACTTATTGAGGTAATAAGGAAACCCCTCTAGATGCTATATTTGGTTAATATATTCACATTCCGACCTATCTAAACACTATGCATGTACACAGAGACCACTAGCATTTAACTACACTTTTCAACAACAACAAAAAAAAAAGGTCACTGCAGAAATGGCAAAAATCAGCATTTACCAGACTGTGTCCAACCAGAAGCGTCTAGCATTACTTTTCTCAGGGCGACAGGATTAATTTGCCAAAAGACCAAGACTTTAATAAAAACCAGTTTCAAAGAAAGATGACTGGATAAACACACAAGATTTTTTGCAAGGCAGAGTCACTCCATCACCTCTCTAGAAAAGGATATTGTATGTATTTTGTTCAGACAAGGGACACAGCATTTAATACTACACCAACACTTGTACCAGCAGTTTGGTGTGGAAAACAGAGACGTGTCCCTGCAACTTGGCGACTGAAAATGCAGAGCATATAATTCCCTGTGGGTTCCGGGGCTTTGTTGTGTAAAAGACAAGAATAGACCCACTGCCTCATCAAAAAGCATGTCGTAGAAGCCAACTAATTGAGTGCTTCCTTTCTTCTTCTTCTTTGCGTTCACCAGCTGCACACTCTGGCGGAAAGTTCTGGTTGCTCGTCCACTACTGAACTGCAGTCCTGCTCCAGAACCTGAGTGTTGCGTGTGCATCAGTTTTACAGATTTCATTCTCTTGAATACAGACTGTTGGTTTCTTGCCTCTCCGGCAGATGCACTCCGTCTTCAAAGGAAGCTCCCCAATTAGTCGACTCTTACGACATGCTTTTGGGGAGGCAGTGGGTCTATTCTTGTTTTCCCCACAATGGGGAGTGCTTCCTTTGAAGTCAGAGAGCATCTATCTGAGCTGCCAAACAACTGTACACAAAAAAGCCAGTAAAACTGATGTACACGCAAAACTCAGGCCCTGGCACAAAACAAAAGTCCAAATGGATAACAACCAGGACTTTCGGCCCAAGCTTACAGCCGGTGAAAAAAATAAATAAACAAGAAGATGACTGAGAAAATGTACACAGCTGACAGAGAAGCCAGCTGGCTATTCTCACCTCAATCAAGAGACATCTGTATGGTACACATGAAGATTTGGACTGCATGGCAGTCTTGATGAAGGCTACTGGCCTATATTTTATGACAGAAGAAGAAGATTAATAAATAGTTTCAGTTTCGGGGCCCTATTATAGGGAAAACAAGAACAGACCCACTGCCTACCCAAAAGCATGTCATAAGAGTCGACTAATTGGAAGCTTCCTTCAAAGTCGGAGTGCATACGCCTGAGAGTCAAGGAACCAGCAGTCTGCATACAAATGAGTCAGATCTGTAAAATGGATGCAACACGCAGGTTCTGGAACAGGACTGCAGTCCAAAAGTGGATGAACAACCAGAACTTTCCACCAGAGTTTACAGCTGGTGAACGCGAAAAAGAATAGTTTCACAGGACAAAGACTTACTTTCATGATGAGACCCAAGTCTCTGTCTATCGGGTTGTCTATTGGTTCATCTACAGACCACCTGCCTGAAAACAATGAAATAAATTCACTCAGTCTCTTGGCACTTTAAAGGCTCCTTAAAGTGAGCAGACAATTAGGTCCAAAAAAACACATTAACTCCAACACTATTTAGTTTTTGATGTTTATTATTAGTTGAGTGCATGGCGCAACACTGTGAGATGCAGATTTCATTTAGAATGCTTTTTTGACTTGCCCAATATGGTTTGTGTTGTGAATTGCAGATTCAGAAAATGGCAATATAGCTGTTGCCAGAGAACTGGTGGTGCCTTACGCGATTGTGTGTGCAACTATGATCTGCTGCAAGTGCTGCTTCCACTGACAATGAACCGCATTTCCTGTGCTGGACTGTTTGTGTTGGCACTTCTTACGTTTGTCTTATGCATCTAATATTTGTGCATGCTACTGGTTCTGCTGAGACTGCAGTCTGTGTGAATGTTTTCATGAGAGACGGTGATGAATATTTTTGTACCATTTTTTTTTTAAATTAATAATTAGATGTTGATCATGTTTATTATTACCTAGGAAATGATTAAAGTTATGTAAGAAGTCAGGCCAAAGGGACAGAATGTCAATTTCCAATTCTTAACCAGGTTTAAAATAAAATTTGATCTCTCTCCCTCTCGCTGACATTCTTTTCCAATCGCTTACACAGGATTTAAGACAAAGTAAACACACACAAAAAACAGTTTGACTGCCTGTATTTATCCCTTTTTTATGGCAGCACAGAAAATACAGGTACTGAGGTAAATTCATGAGAATCAAATGATATGGACTGTGTTGTGTGGAGGGGGGAAATCAGCAAGGGAATGGGAATAACAGGAAAAAAATGATTGTGGAAAGGCTGGAAGTGTCTGAGAAGAAACAGACTAAATACATATGACAACAACAATGGTCCTGAACAGAGGATATAACAAATAATAATGATAACTAATCATACACATAAGAAACTAGAAAAAAAAAATAGGCCAAGTAAACAAAGACACTTCAATTACCATCATATTTAGCTACATCAGCATCCGCACCATCCTTCTTTGCTTGGGAATAAACCCACCTGAAATTTTTGAAATGACAGTCAATGTTTGTGGACATGTTATGAGAAATAGACTATAGAACTTTGCAACACCTGGAAATTTGGTGGAAAAAGAATATGGGTGGGGGGAGGGGGGGGGGGGCACAAAGAGATGAACAGTTTGATGTTTTGGCCACATGGATGCAAGGGGACAAGAGCACTGACCTGCTCCATGATAGTCTGAGATAGCGAACTAGCGAACTATTCCTGCCTATGCTTACTGGCATGGTACTTGAAGATGAGATTGTGTGTGTGTGTGCACGTGTGTATGTGAGTGTCTGTGTGTGTGGGTGCATGTGTGTGTGTGCATATTTGTGTGCATGTGTCTGTGTATATGTGTGTGTGTGCGTGCGTGTGTGTATATGTGTCTATTTGTGTGTATTAATGACAGTAATTCTCTTTTGTCTGCTTCTTCTTTGTGTTCACCAGCTGTAAACTCAAGCAAAAAGTTCTGGTTGTTCGTCCACTTCTGGTATAGTTTCAGAACTTGAGTTTTGTGTGCACATTTGTTATACAGATCTAACTTATTTGTATGCAGACTGTTGACTGTTTGCCTAATGGGCAGATGCCTCCTGACTGAAGGAAACCTCTAATTATTTTAATCATACTACATGCTTGTTAGATAGAACAAGAAACCAGATGAAGAGAGACACAACTGAGTTGCTTTGTAGGTAGATAAGGGACAGTCAAGATGTTCAGAATGTTGTGTAATTTTACACTGAGGCTTTACAGCCAGCAGTGCTGGCTTTCATGATATACCATTTACATCAGTGGTTCTCAACCTGTGGGTGATGGCACTTTTTTTTTTTGGTCAAATGACCTTTTCACAGGGGTCACCAAAGACCATCGCAAAACACGTATTCATCGAAGTTATGAAGTAGCGACAAAAATAATTACATAGCTGGGGGTCGCCACAACATGAAAAACTGTATTAAAGGGCCATAGCATTAGGGAGGTTGAGAACCAGTGATTTACATCAACAGTGAGCTGCAATTCTGGTGCAAGCTTCAAGATTGTGCTAAGACTTAAGAGCTTTTTTTTTTTTTTCAACTTGTCTTTACAAGGGACAGTGAAGGACATTTTTTGTGATTTCCACTTGTACAGGAACAAAGCAGTTGTGAGGCAACCTGCCTGTAGTGATGGTGGAACCTTCATTAACTGATGACTAACTCATGTCAAACCAGAAATTGATTAATCTAATTTAGAATAGTAACGGGCCGAAACAATTGTCGATGAAGGATTTTCTACTGAAGACTGGTAGACCCCTCTGTGCATGCTCTCCTGTGGAGTTTTTCTTATTATTATAGTGAAACTGAAACAAATTACAACAAAAATGAAATAATAATTACCTCCTCAAAAACTCAGCCCTGGTATCGAAGGGTTCAACAAAATAAGTCGGTCCAGCTGGTAGAGGTCTTGAATATACAGGCTGTTTATAAAATAAAAGAGTTAGCTGTGTATTCTTTATTGGATGTTACGAAACCAACCCCAGCAGTTATTTGCTGTTTTTGGCTTACGAAGCAAATAAGAGTATCTGTCTCCCAACCTAACTATACTCATTCTGTTTCTCAACCTAATTGTACTTATTCTGTCTCTGAACCTAACTATACTTTTACTGTTTCTCAACATAACTATACTCTCACTGTCTCTCAGCCTAACTATACTCATTCTGTCACTTAACCTAACTTTACTTGTTCTGTTTCTCAACCTAATTATACTTATAATGTCTCTGAACCTAACTATACTCTTACTGTTTCTTAACAGAACTATACTTTCATTGTCTCCCAGCCTAACTATACTTTCACTGTCTCCCAGCCTAACTATACAAATTCTGTCTGACAGCTTAACGATACTTATTCTGTTTCCCACGCTAACTATACTCATTCTGTCTGATAACATAACTATACTTATTCTGTCTGATAACATAACTATACTCATTCTGTCTCTCAAACTAATTATACTCATTTTGTCTGCCAACCCAATTATCTTCATACAGTCTCTCAGCCTAACTATACTCATTCTGTTTCTCCATGTATATAATTGTGCATCTCAATCTTTTACATGTATATCTTTCTTAACCTTTAAATTGGCTAGTACACCGTATCTTGTCCCAGATACTGAAATATTTTAGCAATATCAAACGCAAGGTGGATCAGAAAGAGTAGTAGCAGAAAGAATGGTGTCAAAACGGAGGAGGCAGGGACTGATGAGAGCCACATTTTACAGAGGACTTGTTACAAGAACAACCTTTACATAGTTATTTCCTTCTGTTCTGAGGGTCCATTTTACAGACCCAGCTTATTTAAATGCAGACTGTTTATCCCTTGCCTCTGTTCAGTACCGTCCTTTTTAGGATGAAATTTTTCGTTATTTGAAGCCACACCCTGGCTCTTGCCGGGGGCCGCAATATAGCCAGGCCATAATTATGGCCTAATGACTAAACGCGGTTTCTGGGACCTCTCCACAGTGATCCTCGTCCGCATGGTGGCACATAGTGTCATCGGGTGTTTATCGCTTGTGTGGTGTCCTGGTGGGGTAGAAAGTCAGCCAATCAGTCATCCCTTGGCTCTCAGGCAGACACACTCCAAGTTTGAAGAAAACCCCTAATTAGTTTACTCGAATGACATACTTGTCCCCCCTTTCCACCTCCACACCCCCCCCCTACCCGCACCCCAATTGGGTCCCCAGAACCCACAAGAGAATTGTGTCATTTAAAACTGGGTAAGACACACACAAAAAGAAATGACTTAGTGTTTACCCTCTCCTTGGCAACACTAGGTTTCTCTTCAACTGCAACAAATCCATCAGGACTTTCTTCATAATTAACGCCTTCAAAATCCTCAATGACAGCAGCTGTGGCTAAGGTGGTAAGCAACACAGTGCAGCTGAGCACAGAGAATACCCTCATTCTGTAATGTCAATATGATATTCAAAATACATTACATGTTTTTGTCAAGAGATAACAAACATTAGGAGCCACAGGGTGGTAAAGTGACTACATGCTTGCTGCCAGTCCAAAAGCTTTGGGTTTGAATCCTCACTGAGGCTTATTTTTTCTCCAAAATGACCTTGGCTCCCAGGTTGACTCAGGCTAAAATGGGTTCCAGGTAAAATCCTGGGAAGTAAAGGCAGCGGGCATGATGATGCCCCACTGATTGCAGGTATGGCTTTAAAAATATGAGGCTAGCCCACTGCATCACTGATACAAAATTGGTGTTTGTTACCATTTGTTTTTTAAAACAACTTTCAATGATAACTGTCTTTCTCTCCTTATTTTTTTCTTCATCAATACACCATTTCACAGCTATACAAAAGATATAAGTTCAGTAAAATTAAAATAACAGATAACTAGTCAAAATATGAATATGATATACAAAAAAGTAAAAGTATACAATAAAATTAAAATGAACACTTATACTTCAGTTGGAACCCTGAGCCTAGAACAGAGGATTATTTACTTGAAAACTAACAGCCTATACTACATACACTCTCTCTCTCTCTTCCCCTGTCCCTACCTAACTCCCACAAACTCGGTCCTCTCACTATACATGATTTAACCCCAAACAACACACCCTTTATATCCAGCTATTGGAAGAGAGGCACTGGAAAACATCATAACTGGAAAGATCAGTGGAAAGAGGGGTAGAGGCAGACTAAGAGAGATGATGCTGGATGGGCTGAAACGATAGCATGAAATTTCATCAAGAGAGCTGTTCCATGCTACCAGGGATCGTGATCTGTGGAGGTGCATGAGCGCCTATGCCAGTTGGCAGGGCACATGATGATGATGACTGCCTGTCCATATCAAGAGATGCATGAGGACTGAGTGGTCTCGAGGTATGGTGTCCACCTCGAGTGCTGGAGGTCCTGGGTTCAGGCCCCGGTGAAGGTTAGGATTTTTTTCACGTGGACTTCTAGTAATTGTCCATGGTCTATGGGTAGTAAGAACAGATATGCCTGTGTGTACTCTTGCACATGTAAAAAATCCCTTGACAGTTGGAAATCGAAAAGAGTAGCCTAACGGAGCTGCCCAAGCAACATTTTTAGTTAAAAATATACCCAAATTATTTCAGGATCCTCACCGGTGCAATGGAGTTTAAGCACTGCACTAAGATTCTTCAGTCTCAGGCTTGAGTTAGAAGTAGAAAGGAGCACTTATGAGTTACATCTGTGTGCCATGATGTTGATCCAGCAAAGCCTTTCCAATTACAGCATTAACTCATTTTCTAGGACTACATCACCAAGGAGGCGTGTATTACCTCCAAAGGGACATTTTAACAGACACAAAGATTATGAAATCCACTATACAAGACTAGAACTAGAACATCTCTCAATGACCAATAACTGCTGATAAACCACAGTCCTTACCAACCCACCCTTTTGTCTTGATTCCTACTCCAACATCAAAATTTTACATAACCTTATTATAAGAACAAATTAAAATTAAACAGAATCATCTATCACAAAGATAAAGATTTTGTCTGAGACAGAAAAGCAAAATTACCTTCAAAACCACGAAGCCTTGACTTCTCGATTAAAGCAATAACGCATTTATTATCAAAATCAAACCATCTAACCAACCTACACACAAGACCACTTAACAAGCCTGATGAGTACGAAATCCACTTCACTAAACATTAGAGAAGAAAAAAAGCTCTCAACTTGACCTTAAACAGCCGCAGATACTAGCTAGTTAGCATGATACTGTAGTGTGGGCTTACACAGCTCCTTTGGTCTTGATTCCTACCCACTTCAATATAAACAGAACCTTCCTTGGTGTGAGCAAACCTTAATGTACGTTCATACAGAGGCTTTCTACCCTGAACACAGATAACGATTTTCTCTAAAACACAAAAAGCAAATTTACCTTCAAAAACGTGGAGAAAATTTCTTACTCTCATTCGATGGCAACCGTCCTCTCTGCAGCACACTGTCTTCCCGACTGAAGCAATAACATTTCTCAGAACTATATCATCAAACAGATCCAACTTACTCACCAAGGAATTCTTAATCAACCCAGAATTACGAAATCCACAGGACAAAAGAAGAAAAGCACTCTTAGTCTTAGACTTACTTAAGTCTTTTTAATTTTATCAACAACTCCAGTCTAGTCTAACAAATTATCCCACCCTATCGCCTTGATTTCTTATTTTCTACTCGAATATTAGTACTTAATATAATTGCACAAACCGTAACATTAATTTAAAATCGTCCTACACACATGTATCGATTTTTTTTCTGAGACAGAAAAGCAAATTTACCTTCAAAAACGTGGAGAAATCTCATTCGATGGCAACCGTCCTCTTTCGCAGCAGACGTCGCATTTTGAACAGGGCTGGGCCAATGGGAGTTCACTTTCTTGCCGCCCGGAGTGATGTCCTCTTGCCTGGCCCCACCCATCTTTTGGCGCCGTTGATTAGCACACTATACCAGGGTTACCATATTGGCATTTTTGATGCCAGATTCCACAAATCTGGCATATTTGAAATTGAACTGGCATAAGATAATGAACTGGCACATTTGGCAATGTTGATCTTCAGTTAACAGTTAACATCTTTATTTCAGTTTGACTTTGTTGTGACATCCTGGTACTAGCGGAGATTCGCGCCATTTCTTATTGTATTTGTTGACTTCCTAAACGGATCGTGACTTTGATAAACCAAGGCCCTCTGGAATTGATGTTAATCTACTAGAATGAATGCGGTATATAAAACCAAAACCAACAACTGATATTAAGTTATTCAGACTGTTCAGAAACTACTTGAGGACAGAAAATAGAGAGGATATAGACCTAGTTCTATTTGAAATAGATTTTATTACTTTCACCAATGGCCACGTCATCCCAAAAAAATGGAAAGCATCTTATGACATCGCAAGTATAATAGTAACTGGAAGAAAACAAAATCATGGCTCAAAAGATCTTCAGACGAATTAGAGGCAGCATATTGTAAACTGTGTCAGTGCACACGCACCAAGAATTAGTAGCATATCAAATCATAAAAAATCCGAAAAACACAGGATGAAAACTTCGTCAAAAAGCCAGTCACAACTTATTACAAAAATGACTCCTAGGCAAAGTAATGATAAAGCTAAAGGCAGAAGAGTTGCAACTTTCTGTAGACATGACCTGCCATTGTGCAATACGCACAAATGATCATCTAAGTGAAATCATGAGAGCTCATGGCCGGGTAAGTACATTGGAGCACATACAGTAGCATAGAACTAAATGTTCATGCCTAATAAAAAATGTTATATCGCCTGCACTTAAGGATGACCTTATTAATGATTTTCGGTCAAGTAGCATGCCATCATTATAGATGACTTCATCAAATCTGAGACAATCCTTAAAGGTTTTACATTCAAAAAGGTTTACGCTGTATTTTCCACTGGTTCCAGTGAGGATGATAGTGAAGAATTTAATCTAGAGCTTTTGATGTGAAGTGAGTACAATGTTACACTTTATTTGGCATTTTCTGGCATATTTTGGGTAATGGTTTGGCAAAAAATGAAGTTTTTTATCTGGCAACCCTGCACCATACCTTATTGGATTCCGAGGCCACACTTGAGTCCTTAAACGGCGGTTGGTGCCTGATTCTGCAGTTTACACCTAGGCTGCGATATCTACGCCTTTCGATCCGACGCTTCCGAATTCAGTAAATCCACAGCGGCACTTTTCTTTTAGTTTACCCTATCTCGGGGACTCCAAGATTTGGTTGGGAGTTTCCGGTAAAGTCCAATATTATGGGGTGGGGAAAGCCCGTTCAACCACTAAGTTATATTAGGACCCCCCGACAATAGCTGAGTGGGGACTTTAAAATAACAGCAACAACAAATTGCCTCCAATATTAGGGCGAAGTTAACTAATAGGTCTAGGAACCCACACAGAGAGCTTATTGACAACTGATAGGGAGTTTGTTATTGAAAAACAAAAGTAAGTACAAGGGTTCCGTAAGTGTGGATATGACATGTTTCGTGGAACCAGAAGTAAATATAGAGGTTCTGTGCCAGTGGCGAGACATGCATGTAACGGCTGTAATCGCCCCTTACTCTTTCCACTGCCGAAGAGAAATTGATTATTTTACTATTTAATATTACTGTTTATTACAAATACGCCATTGAGTTTTCGTCTACCACATAGCGAAAAGAACACTCGATGTATGCTTACGCGTCTCATCTAGAAACTGCAAAACTGTAACGTATGCAAGTTAACAATTACTATTACTACAATGCTAGATGTGCACGCATACTCGGTCAACAGTGAAGCAACAATGATGAGAAAGTCACCTGCTGCTAATGTCTCCAGTGTAATCACTACCTTCTAGGTCCCCCGTGTGGGTTCCGGTGCCTCATTGTGGGGAAAACAAGAATAGACCCACTGCCTCCCCAAAAGCATGTCGTAAGAGTTGACTAATTGGGGAGCTTCCTTTGAAGTCGGAGTGCATCTGCCGGAGAGGCAAGGAACCAACAGTGTATTCAAGAGAATGAGATCTGTAAAACTGATGCACACGCAACACTCAGGTTCTGGAGCAGGACTGCAGTTCATTAGTGAACGAGCAACCAGAACCTTCCGCCAGAGTTTACAGCTGGTGAACGCGAAGAAGAAGAAGACTACCTTCTACGCTCACACATGCGAACCTGTCCTAAGTCCCTTTCCCAGCTAATAGTGAGGGTACTGCTGGGGTGACCATTTGTTAACCCCTCACATAATGCTTCAAGTCACAGTGGACACTAGGCACGACCACTTTTTTTTTTTTTTTTAAAGCCGTGGCAGTTCTGCCAGGCGGTGGCCGTTGCATTTTTGCTCCATTTGTAGACTGGAAGGATATAGTTTCGTCACCCAGCTTCTGAGTTGAGTGCATGGTGTGACACTGTGAGCTACGAGTGTTTTTCGTTGGCACAGGAGCGGAGC